TAAAAAAGAATCGCCCTTCCTCTCTTGTATAGAGCTAACAGTAGAGCAGGGAAATCCTTAACACACTGAATATTCTCTCAGGATCATTTATAATTTACAGTTTGAAGAGAGCAATTTCTGGTTTGATGTTTATTTTTTTCAGTCTTTATAGCGATTATTCCTACCCACTTACTTTGTCAATTGTAGGCGAACCCTCCTAAAGCTGAATTTCAAGGGACCATATTCAAGCTCAGAAAGAGAAATAAAATTTCGTCGTTGCTTATTTACGTCCTCCATAAAACGCGAAATTAGGCATTTTCACGTCGTAGTCGTGCAAAAACGGGAAAGAAATGAACAAAAAAGTGTGTTGCACGTGCGAAGTTGTTGTTTTGCTAATTAAACCTATTGTTTTTTTGACGTTCTAGTTGTCGTCCGCGTCGTTGGATCTTAAACTCCCTAAATTGTACAAACGACCGGTTTCAATAGACCGGCGAAATTTCTCATTTTATTAAAGCACTGAGGTTACGACAACTTCGAGTTAAACTGATTTCACGGGTTGTCAAAGAGTCCAGCGATTCCTTTTTCCCAGGTGAGCGCCGACTCATTTCGCTTCAATATTCAGGAATGCTCTCGATCTTTTTACGCTTTCATTGCCTCTCGCCCGACATGTTTTGCACGGCGTTTGGTCATGCGAAACCTCCACGCAACATCACGCCTCGCGCGAGGTAACTTTAGCCCGATTCTAAAAATAACTCGAGACGAATTACCTATGGAATAGGGTGTATATGGGGGATGGCCTCTCTGTCCCCTTTATAGTCTCTTGATCTTGCTTATCGTCAAGTTCAAAGTAAAGATTCTGACATCGAAGTTTAGTTTTAGAAAAGCAATATGTCCAATCTGCCCAGACGTGTCAATGGATGGACTGGATAGACTGCTATTTATAAAATCAGGTGATACATTCGCCGAAAGCATATTAGTTATGTGGAGTTTCTTACAGTTATTAGAATTAGACGCCTCCGTCTATTAGTTCCTCTACAGTTTGTCTCCTTCGCAGCCGCTCGGGCCTGAGTCACGCCCAAGCGGCTGCGAAGGAGACTAATTTACAGTAAGACGGTTTGTTAATGTGAAAACGTTTCATAGGTTCGCAAAATATTAAAATGAGTTTCTTTTCACTAAAAAGTTTCAGCGTCTAAACAAAAGTAATGCTCTATCCACATCATCTATACATGTCTAATTAAGCCAAGTTTTAAATATGAAATATATATTGACACCGAAACTGGAACACAGGTTTTTACAAACGATTCCAAATGAAATTCAACATGGTTTGTAATTTGCACTAAATTTACAATCATTGCGCAGGTTTAGGCCCAGTTCACACGCCGAATTTTTCATGACCTGAACCTAATACATTGAATTAAGTACATAAAAAGTTTGGTGTCTGAATCAAATTTCAAACTGGAACGGCTCAGCCGTTCTTTTAGGCTCAATCTCCAGCCTTGGGCCGCGAGCGCACCGAGACACGCGACGCTGGAGACTGAGACTACCGTTCTCCTCACCTAGCCAGGCCGGGAATTTCGACTTTGGAGCGACTTTGGAACGGCTTTGATTCAGACGCCGAACTTTTCATGTGCCAAACCCAATAGACCTTGCCACGGTTTTCGACGTCATCTTGACGAGTAGGCAAACGCTTGAGAAATTACAGTTTGCATGAGAATCTAATGTCGAATAATTTCCGTAGAACGGCTGTCCTGAAAAAATATGAATTGTCAACTAAAGCTACACTCCTAAGGATTCTACTGAAAAAAATTGAGGGCGTTGCATGGGCTAGAAGACCTAGAACCACTTTTTAAAATTTTCTGTACATTTGTCTGAAGGGGTGTAAGAAAGTCTCGGGAAAAATTAAAGACAAATATATGGAAAATCTAAAGCAAGCCTCTGGAGAAATTTAAGCACAGGTACGCCCACAAAATTTTTTCAGCACAATCCTTTGTTTTGTGGATTTAGTTTACAGGTCATATTTTTTTCAGAACAGCCATTTTACGGAAATTAATTATTCAACATTAGATTCTCATACAAACACTGTAATTTCTCACACGTTTGCCTACTCGTCAAGATGGCGTCGAAAACCGTGACAAGGTCTATGGATAAATTATAATAAGGTATTTTGCTAGCAGTTTGACCGAAATAAGCATTTTAATCTGGCTGGTATTAAGATCGCCGTCTGGATCCATTTAGCCGGTCTAAATAACTTGGGTCGGCCTCAATTCGAATATTAGGTTCGGCTCATGAAAAGTTCGACGTCTGAACCGGGCCTTCTTAATGAACGAAACCATCTTTTATAGCGTTTTAATAATTAAAGAGCTTTTAAATATGTTTAATCTCAACCACTTGTATAGAAACCTTTCTCTAAAAACTTCCACAACATTAAGTAAATCAACGGCGTATATATATTGGTATAAGAGTATTTAACAGGCTAGTGGTGCTCGAAAACGCCAATCTGAGCTTTGAAGTAAGCTAACTTCAATTTTTGTTTGAAAATTTCTCGTTTGACTATAAATTATTTGACTCGTGCGGTCTGTGATTTATGCTCTGTTATGTGTAAAGAACCCAATTTACAAATGTACATAAACTGAAACTCAGGCAATCTTCTTTCATGTAAGAATACAACACGATTCGCTTTAAAGGTGAAGACTTAGGTCAATATTAATAAACAACAACAACAACAACAACAAGAATAGCAACAATGGACCTTACCTTGAATGCCGAAATGTTGAATATCCATTCTTCCTTCGCGACGTTTTAGAGCTTCGTTTAACGCAGTTTCAACTTTGCCAAGGCGAATAAGTCACTGTCCTCTTACAGCTTAAAAACAACCGTAAAACAACGAAAAACAACAACAAAAATCCTCTTCTTTTGCCATCCTGCAAACCTGCACAGAAGCAGCCAAGCTGCTACCTGATTGGCCAGCTACGTTATTCCCTCCTTTTGATTGGCTAAGTTCTGGTCGTCGCAGACGCGGCAGCCACGATTTTCCCGCGCTTTCAGACACAGATTCCTCACAGGGATTCCGCGCTGCTCAGTTCTGAAACCAATATACAAAACAAATGTCACAAATACAAACAAAACAAACCAAAACAAAAGAAAGAAAGAAAACATGAAGATAAAAACAACTACGGTTGTTCAAATAGTTTTGAAGACGCAGGTCCTCGCAATGAGGTGTACCCTGGAAAAGAAAAAGGGCTGATAAAAACACTTCTTGTAAAACTGCTTGTTTCCTTTTCTGTATTTTTACACTCGCAGATCATAAACAAGTAAAAAAAACTTAAAACGCCAATACCGTTAAACCAACCGACTTATCATAATCAACAAAATCAACAAAAATAGTTACGAACGGGCCGGGTTGTTCGAAGCTGGGTTAAGATAATCCAGGGTTGGTCTGAGATTGAAATTCAGATGTGAACGCTTAAATTAAATAGCGAAATCAATTTAACTCTCTTTGTCTACAATTTGTTTAGAAGATGCTCTAAATAGAATAAAGAAAATTATCGGAGAAAATGCTTTTGAACACAAGAAAAGAAACCGGGATTAGAATTTAACCCCGGGTTAGCGATAATCGACATACGAACAACTGGGTCCAGGAGTATCAACTTCCCGCGCCCCTGGCCAGGGAAAAAATAGTATCTACCCTACCCCCCCCCGCCCTCAACAACGCCCCAGAATAACGGTTCCCAAGTTTCAGTGACAGCACAACACTTCACTCTGCTCAGTAAGTTAGCCAGTGTTTAGTCGCACCCTCCTCTCAAGAAAAAAAAATCGTGAAAAGGCTAAACAAATTTAAAACAAACAATAATATTTTTACCGAAAGTTTTTATTTAACACTTGTTCGCTCTGCATAGCAAGAAATCAAAAGATATATTATACATTAGTGATGATTTAGCCTTGACTACTATTTACAAAAATAACAAGTATTGTAAATTGAAATGGTAAAACGTACGATTTGATATTTTTTTAATAGTAAAATAATCAAAAGTTCTTTTTATATGAGGACAAATAACACGCCGAGTTCCCATTTAAATGGCCATGAAGAGTCTTCGCCCCTGAAATAAGACGCGCAACAGCATATGTTCATATAAACCATACAGCTCGTGTCAGGTTTGAGATGAGTCTTGGGTTTCCTCGTATAAACAGCACTTAGATTGTGTTCGAGATTTAACACTTCTCAACACAGCGAGGTCTAAAAGTGGTTGGTTTTGTCAAAAAGGCTCCAGGTCCGGGTTGTTCGAAGCTGGGTTAAGATAACCCTGGGTTAGTGCGAAATTTGAACTCAGATATGAGAGATTACAAAGCAAATTCAGTTTAATTCTCTTTGCCTACAATTTGATAATTGGATACTCTAAAAAGAATAGAGAAAACTATTCGAGAGAACGCTTTTGATAAAAAGATAAAGAAACCCGGTTAAAATTTAACCCTGGGTTAGAGCTAACCCGCGTTCGAACAACTGGGCTCAGGTCAGTTTTGCGACGCATGTGCGTTAAAATTTTGAAACTCAACAGAAATGAAAAGATTGTGAGGTAACGAAAATAACGATCATATCCAGACAGTGATCCAAATTTTAATTTGCTTTCACCCATAACGACGAAAGGGCTATTCAAGTATACATTATGCATTACATATCTCTGTCTCTTTCGAAGATGTATCAAGTCGGTAGAAGACAAGACGATTTCCCAACATACAACTTGAAATTGTATGTTTTGTTTTCCCAATGTAGGTCATGTGATAATACTCCAGAGAAATGTTTCCTTCAAATTTCTTATTCACCTGCATATGTACGCATAATTTATGCAAAGCCAAAGGTCAAATTCCCTTGAGACCTTAATTGGTAAAAGAAAACAAACAAGCTTAAGAGGGCGATTATCCGTCTTTTCCGGAAACATTTTGACATGAAATGCACATGCGTCGCAAACTGACCGCTCCTGCTGCTGCTATTGCTGCTGATAACTGTCTCTACACAAGCATGCTCCTCAAAACTGTGGGCCCTGATATTGAGGGTTTGTAGTGTACTGTTGTTGCTGGGCCTGCTGAGTAAGGTCCTGAGGTGCTGGAGTGGAGAGCTGCCGCGTAAAGGAGATATCTTGGGCTGAAGTCACTTGTCTCGGAAGCCCAATTTCAGGTGGCGCAGATAGCTGCCTCTGGAGGGAAATGTCAGCAGCCTGTGAAAACTGCTGTTGTAGAGACATGTCTTGGCCTGCAAAATAACGACCAGGATGAGTATTCTGCCGCTCATCATGGAATCTCATTCGTCACTTTAAAGCGAGAAGGAAACTGGGCCGAGTTAACTTTCGCAAAGACTTGTGGTTACTATTGTTAGCTTAATAAATGAAATGATATGTGTGAAGAGAAAAACAGAAAAAAATGTCGACTTGTAGCACTTATAAAGTGCTCCTGAACACGTGGATTTCATGCGCTAATGACTCCCTCCCTCCTTCAGTGAACATTTTTATGAACTGAAGTTGTTACTGTCTTGTTTTTCCTCAAAGCTTTGGCTCACTACTCGCTTTCTATGACGCAACAGATAATGAAGAAGTTAACTAATCAGACTGCAATCTTCGCGATAGTGAGGATCACTTACGTCGGGCTTAAGCCCCTAATCATTCACAACAACTCATCGGACGAAGAGGTTAACATTGTTTTTACCTGAAATCCTTTGTAGTTGTCTCACCAGCTCTGCAGTCGAATGACGTTGCTGTTGTTGTTGTTGCTGTTGCTGTTGTTGTTGCTGCTGCTGTTGTAGAGCAGCCGCAGCCGCAGCTGCTAGTAACCTCTGTTGTTGTTGTCTGTCGATATTGCTCTGCTGGTATTGTGACTGAAACGTTTGCTGCATCTGCGAGACCGCGTTCATCTGCGCATGGCCCGATGACACAGGCATTTTATGCTGTAACGTGGCTTGCGGTTGTGGTTGAATAGTCCGCTGACCAGTTAATGTAAACTGCTGTTGTTGCTGTTGCGCTTGTTGTTGTTGTTGAGGTTGTATAGCCCTTGTCAGCGCCTGGGATACAGTTAGACCTACGACAGAGAAAACCAGTCGAAAACTGCAAAATTTTTTATTTTGAGGTTTTAAATTCAATCAGTAGTAAAGTAGATAAAACAGCAACACCACGAAGGATTTAAGGACAGAACACAACAACAACAATAACAATAACAATAACAAAACTTTAAGTTTAATCGCTAAGGGAACCACTTTAATGTCGCTTCAATACCCCATTACAAATAGTGCGAAGGGACTGGAAAAAACGTTCGTCATCACATGATTACGATTATATCAGAATTTCAATGTAACTGGAGGAAAGAATCTCCTCCGCTATACAAAGTATCACACAACACGTCGTTATTACAAAATGCCGCAGAACCGGGCTTATTTATATTCGGATTTCACTGTAGTTCTTTATTGCAGAAATCAAACGGTTACAGTTCAAATCATAACGCAACTAGCATCATTCGTCGAGCTATGACTTAACAGTTCTTTCCAGTTAGCTCAATTGCATAAGCGCCGGTTGGCCGAGTAGGAGGCCGCTAGTTCAAGCCTCGCCAAAACTCAGGGTCTTAAAATATCTGAGGAGAAAGTGCTGCCTTTGTGATGGCATTTGCAAACGGTTAGACTTTCTAGTCTTCTCGGATAAGGACGACAAACCGTAGACCCCGTCTCACAAACTTTGCACATATAGTTTATTATGTGGGAGGTTAAAGACCCCACATTGTTAGTAAAGAGTAGGGGAGGTAGTGCCCGGTGTGGTGGTCTCAAATTTCACACTCACAGGGGGGATGGGTGGGGGGAGGTTGGGGGGCAGCATCACTGCACCATAAGCAGTCTTGCAAAAACTCCCCCCACCAGTGTTGTAAATTATCCTTGAAAAGCCCCGAGGGTTGTGGATAATACGAATTTTACAATTTACAAGTTGGCGATAACACAAGGACTCTATTGAGTTCTAATAAGCTTAACTACCGTATTTCTTCTGACTCGCAAAGGCGCCAAATGTACCTTGATAACCAGCGGTGTTGAATGGCTGCTGTTGCGTGACCATGCCTCCAAGAGAAGATGGAAGTGTCATGGTTGTCGGCGTTGATGGTGTAGAGACGAGATCGGGACGAGTAGCGACCTGGGTCCTACCAATGGTCAGAGACTGCGGACGCTGGGGTTGAGTGAAAGTGTATTGTTGATTAGAGTGCATCTGACCTGCACTCTGGACCGCTTGAAGCTAAAAATGAAAAAAAATTAGTGTATTTCGGTAGGTAAATAAAATAGTTCCGCCATTCTGTTTCGGGAGCTGCAGGGAATATGGGCTGTGATTTGAGGGGATGCAATTTTTCATCACTTATTAATCTGTTAGGCTGATTTGGATACACCTTGTAGCTGGTCGTTCTTCCACCTCTCCCCTATCTGTATGTCTATGCACACCCACCCAGGTGGCCTATGTAATTGATGAGCACCCCTGAATTCTATATGATCTTCCGGAATGTCTCGATCGTCCGAGTTGTCTCCATATGCCTCAAGCAGATCGAGACAGATACAAAAACCCCTGATGCGAAACAAAACTATCTAGTCGATCGGAATCACCAGTGAATAAAACTTAAGTCTGTATACTGATTGGCTTCCATCGGTTCGGATGATTATATGCGTGACAATGGTTCTTAAAATTTCGTACCTGGTTAGCCTGTGGTAAATGCCTAAGTTGCTGGTTGACCTGTTGCGGTTGTTGTTGCTGCGACATTTGATTTTGAAACTGCTGTGGGAGAAGAGTTGGCTGCTGGGACATAAACATGGCTTGCTGTATTGATTGAGTTTGTTGTTGTTGTTGCTGCTGGTGTTGGGGTTGCTGCTGTTGTTTTTGTCTCATTCTCTGAAGCAGCTGGGCACTTGACCTCTGTGTTTGGTGTCCAATCGTGTTCTGCGACGCCACGGAGTGAGAAACAAGCATCCTTAGGTTTGTTAACGGGTTTTTGATTCCTGCCGGATTTGTCAACCTTCCGAAGAAAAAAAAAACTATTTAGCACTTGACTTCACAGTCACAAATTTGATCATTCAAAATATAGCTAACGAAAAGTATTTTCTACTGACGCTAAGATGGAATGTAAGAAATGAAGACGAGAAAAATTAGATGTGTTATGTTGACCGTCCAAATTAAAACGTGAAATAGTGCGAGGACAGCAAAGAAATGTACCAAGAAAGATTGATGCATTTATAAGAGCAAGCTTTCCTTAACAATTTTTCCTTGGTCGTGTGAGGTCGCATCTACACGAGCGAGTTTTTCTTAGCAAGTTGTCCTAGCGTGTAAGGGTACAAGGTTTCCTTAACAAATTATCCTTAGTCGTGTTAGGAGGCATCTTCACGAGCAGGCTTTCGCACAAGTTGTTCCAAGTCGGTGTAAGGGTGCACCTACACCAGTAAATTCCACGACTTCATTGACCACCCACCTTGGCTGCTGTTGAGGCTGCAAGCCTGCCTGCGCAAGCCCCCTCTGCTGCTGCTGCTGTTGTTGCTGTTGCTGCTGAAAGAGGACCTGTTGCTGCTGTTGTTGCTGAGTTGTTTGGCCGAACATCATTCCGGCCGGCGGTACCTGCATGTACGGCTGTTGCTGTGGATGTTGATGTTGAAGTAACTGTTGCTGCATCTTCTTCTGCGCTGCTGTATGGCCTGGAGGTTTGGGTGCCCTCTTGGGTCCTTTTTTAGCCTGTTTTTTGGCCTGTTTGCCTTCTGCCACAGCAACCTGATTTGGGGGTACGTTTCCTTGCATTGCGTGAACGGCAGCCATGTTAAGGCCGCCCATCACCAGTGAAGGTACCAATGGTGTGGCACCTAAATATAGTGAGTGATATCACATGTAAGATTATTAGGCAAATACTGTCGTATTGAAAAAGGCGAATCACAGAAAATTGCATGAACTACTCCCTTAACACTGATATCAAGCTTTCTGGCCTTTAGATGAAACAGGCTTTACAGAGTTTCATATAACGTCTGTACTAATCGCCTTAATTGTATGACTGAATCCGCAAAATGAAGCGAATACTGTGTTCTGATCGGCTACCAAACGAAACGCGTGAGATGAGCCATCTTGCCCTCCCAGGATTTCTCGCGTTAGTCCCGCAAGTAAAATACTCTTTATGGCCATAAAATTAAACCTTTATTGACCAGGCTTGTTGGGTTCAGATGGCTGGATAGTGGCATCGTTCTTTTTTGTGTCTTAAAAGACCTCGAGTACGTCGCGGTCTTACACTAGCTCCAGGTTCTGATCTCTAAATACCAAGGGTGAGATAAACTGAGCGCACTGTTTGATAAAGCTCCCGAGACGTTTTTTCTTTCCCTGCGCCTCACTGTCGCGGCTTCGCCACGAATTATCAGGAATAAGGAAAGAAGAAAAAGCAAATCCCTGTTCCCAGGGTATATCGGTCCGGAATAAAAAAGGGGAAAAACAACTTGGCCAATAATCAGCCATGCTGACCTCAGTCTTGGTCAATAATGCATAATACCGTAAAATTCCGAAAATAAGCCCCGGGGCTTACATTTTTTCAAAGGCCCTTTTTGAGGGGCTTAGTTTTGGAGGGGCTTATATTCGGAGGGGCTTATCTACGGAGGGAAATTTGCGTTTCAAAATCGATTGGACTAGCCTTATAGTTTAAAGTAAATTTACCTTTTTTGCTTTGTTTTACTTTGTATTTGAGGGCAATTTTCCAAGTACAATCCCACGGGGGCTTATATTTGGAGGGGCGATTTAACGGAGGGTTTTTGCGTCACCGGCTTGGGGGGCTTATATTTGGAGGGGCTTATTTTCGGAATTTTACGGTAATTCGTAACAACCAAGCGTCAAATGTACGGTTGGTGTTTTGTACCTTTACTATCAGCTGGTGTTTGCGGAGTTGATGGTTGACTGGATCGCTCTCCCGTTGCACCTTCCGTCTCATGTCTATCCTCTTCTTCATCCTGCTCATCTTCTTTGTCCGGCGCAGGATTAAGAAAGTAGCTCAGAGGGCGCCGCCTTGGATGCGTGTGGTGTAGTAACCTTCGAAAATCCTGTTCATATCTTAATGGCTTGCGCTCAATTCGGACCGCACCAAACCACGCCCATGACAGGGGTGAGGGGTTTTTGTGACCCTCCATGAGTTCCCAAGCACTGATTCTTTGTTTGCCAGTGATCTGGAGACCCTACGGATACGAAAAGAACAGCGCAGACCAATTACGTTTCAATACATAATTTTTCTTACCCCATTGTTGTTTTGTTGCCCCATTCAGGGCCGCAGGCAGAAAAAACAGATGAAAAATGATAATAATATGAAATAAACTAAAAAACAGACGAAACGGGAATTTCAACCCAAATTCGTTGAGAAATCACCACCAATCTCTCACCTTTAGTTCAAAAACATCAATCAAGTTATTAACGTCACTTTCAATCACAAAGGCAAACAAGCTAAAAACAATACCTGGCAACTTGTCCCTCCACCTGATGGGGTTTTGTCTCCGGCCTGTGCAGAGGTGGACGGTGTCTCTTTGACAGCCGAGACTGTAAGCACGCCGTGTGAGAGGGAGGGGAGAGGAAGAAGTTGTTTACTTTGCTGCATAATGTCACCAGGGTTTTTGCCAGCAAACTCTCGCTGAAAACGATAATATAAAAATTTGAATATTTGTAACCTATATCCATCCACACTTTAGATGAAACACGTGTCTGAAACACGTCAAGGGCGTCTAGTTCACTTTGGAAGACCAAAAATCTCATAATTGTACGAAACTCAATAAAAATGAAATGCATTCACGAAGAAGAAGAAGAAGAAGATTCCCTGTTCCCTACATACTCGCAGTTGCGAACGCAACTTATGCAATTGCGTAAGAAGTCTGAAAAAGAAATCAGGACTGCAACGGACTCCCAACATCAGTGGCTTCATAGCTCAGTTGGTTAGAGCATCGGAACGATATCGCGAGGTCACGGGTTCAAATCCCGTTGAAGTCCTGAATTTTTTTTTTTTTTTTTTGATGATTCTTACGCAATTGCATAAGTTTTGTTCACAACGGCGAGGATCATTCTTCATTTGATCGGATTATTATTGCTGCTAAGAACAAGCATACCTTGAGTTTCTTGAAAAGTGCAAAAGCAGCTTTACGGCTCTCATCAGCAGACTGACCGTGAACTGAGTCTGTATTGGAAACGACGCTGATCAAAACTGATACCATGTCCAGCACGTTCGTCAATAATTCCCTTGAAGAAGAAGAAGAAAAAAAGGTTTTTACGCGTAATTAGGCCAACAGACCTCGTCCTTGATTAAGTTTCCAAAAAGGGTCCTGTGAATACGAGACGAAAAATAGAGAATGGTGGCCATTTTCGCTGTCTTATAAATTAACTTCGTTTTCACGCAAGCTACATGCCTAATTTAACGTTTAAAATATGTGATATCACAAATAATAAAAGTTTTCCTTGCCGCAAAACTATGTGATAAAACGCAGGAATTGGAACCTCGACCCCTTTTAAGTAATCTATGATTACTACTAGTATATCTTGTTAGCCCAGACCAAAGAAAGATCTTGAAATAGCCGAGAAACAGACTGCCAAATTTTTAGGCTCGATTTGTGCCGCTCCATCGGGTTCGGTCTTGAATCGGTTTCGGCTGGCAATCGACCGTACGTAATTCACAAACCCTGTGATGGATAGAGAGGGTTCTAAAGAATTAAGGTTTTGCAATTCAGTTGGTTTAGAATAGACATTTGATCAAGAGAAAAATATAAATTGAGAAGCAACGACGTTTCCACGTTTTGGTAAATTTTTATCTTTGTACCTTGTCCAAATGGGTACAATTTTTTCCGAATGGTGTGATATGTTTTTGTTGAGTAACGTATTACAAAATCACGTCGTTATCTTCATTATTACTTGAGTTTCATCATATAGATAAAAGATAGGCTATTATACCACAGTAATATCTGTAGTTTGCTTGTTCCAATTGGCATGAGTAAACCCTTGTATTGTTTAATACTACTGGGTTAAAGCTTACTTTTTGGTAGGAAGCGAATCAGCAGTGATTGTCCCAGAGCTGACGAGCTGGAATAGTAATATGGCCCAATCACTTGACATCTGACTGCTACGTTGAATGGTGTCAAACATAGCACCCAACTAGAAAAAAAAAAATCATCATCCTTCGTCAATCGTGATCCGAAAAAAACAAACAAACAAACAAACAAAACAAAACAAAACAAGACACACTCTCCTCTTCAATTTAACCTTCTTAAAAAACTCAGACAAGTGTAAGCAGAGAGGGAAAACTAACCAGGCTGATTCGCAAATGTAAAGCTTCTTGGAGAACTTCTTTGCTTTTCAAATCCGTAGGGCACCTCTCCTGTAAACACGAATTTAAAAAATACGCCATGCTATGAAGCAAATTGAATCTAAAAGTCTCTAATGTTTCCTACTCCTTTCATACGTTGTACAAGGCGTGGTCCTAACTTTGAAGCCTGTCAATGAAATCGTTAAGATACTAAGGCAGTACCTGTGGCTTACGGTCATCTCGCCACTAAGAAATCTACTCGCCAACACATAATAACTCAGCAATTCACACTTTTTACTTACGTGGGATTGTTACTTCTTCCTCAAGCCCATATATAAGTTTATCGATTTTAACGGACAGCTTACGTCGAACTTCTCATCTTTAGTTTTATTTTTGTAAACAACTGCGACTATCTAATATCTTAATACGGCTTATTTGTATCTCTCGAGAGGTGCAATTCGTTTAAAATCCAACAGCCTCTCTTATGAAAGTTGGTTAATATTGTCACTTAAACCTTACCTCCTTAAATTAACAATTAAGACATATATATTTCTTGGTGGCGAATTCGTTGGTGGCGAGATGGTTTGGTGGGGAGGCGACCGGATACCAGTACTGTACATGTACTGATTTGCCGTTTATTTGGTGTACAGGGTGGTTCTAACTTTTCAGTCTGTGGATGAAATGTTTAAGTGTGACCATTCAAATGAAAGCTATTGAACAGTGCTTTCCCGTGGTACTACTTATTATGCTGTACAGGGTGGTTATACTTTTGAGTCTGTGGATGAAATCCTAAAGTGTGACCATTCAAATGAAAGCTACTGAACAGTATTTTCCTGTAATACTGATTATTATGTTGTACAGGGTGGTTCTAACTTTTGAGTCCAACAATGAAACAATGAAACTCTTGAATGTAACCATGTAAACGGAAGCTACTGAGCAATATGACTAACCAAAATAAAGTCAATGACAAACCTCAGCAGGAGCAGCCAGCAGTTGACCTAGCTGACGTTGAATGGAGGAAAGTAAGGCCTCTCTCTGATCTTCTTGTCCCTTGAGACAAGCTAACACGAGCGACAGGAATGGCTGGGTATGAACCAGGGTGGGGCTACAAACACAAAGCGGTTAAAATAGAACATAGTTTGTAAATTTTAAGAAGCCCGTCAGACTCTTTTGATGTGACGGTGGACAACGTTCAATAGCATTCCTACCATTTTCCGTCAGGTAGCTTCTAACATAAACTACCCCGGGTTACGGGGTGGAGTCGTATGACATTTCAGACTACTCAAAATTCAACCCACATTATACGGACACCCCGTTAAAACGGACACTTTCTGTGGTCCTCTCAGTGTCCGTATTAACGGGATCGACTGTATTTTCCGTCCACTGTAGAATGCTGCGAAATCTCTCCTTTACTATTACAAGCCTAACACATAATTATGACATTAGTTTCTTCAAATGTTCCTTACACGGATGACTTTACAGAATGATCCTTCCACCACTGTTTCGTGTCCAGTACTTCACCTGCGGCCTTCAGGAGTCGGCCTTGTACCGAGTTGGAAAGTTTGGAGATCAAAGGAGCAACAAGCCACTCTGGACCCTTGATCACTACAGACTTCTGGTTGCTATGTGCTGTTGCTAAGGGCGTGGTGTCATGCCGCTGAACAAAGACATTCATGGCGCTGGTAGCGATAGCATCCAAAAGAGGTCCAGTTTCCTAGAATGAAAATGTTTCTTGAGAATTATGGCCACACCACAAAGAAATTTCGTTATGTAGTGTATCACGCAAGAGACCAAAATCAAACTAACGTCAGGGGGATATTGCCGTGTTAGGTCAAGTCTGCGCTGAAGTCATTACTACTTAACTCTACCTTTACACCAAATGCTCCTGTTACTGTAAAGCTCTAAAGAAAATATCACGCAAATTTTATCAGGGAGTACTAACCATAGTGAGTTTTTTTTGTGTGATTTCTACAGGTAAAGCACTGACACTTGAAAAAATGGGCGCAGCTTTTTCAAATCCTTGTCCATCCTTGCCGTTGCAAAAGATAACAGGTCTCGTGAAACAGTTTCAAAGCCTAAATAATGTCTTAATAAAGTCTTAAATAACAACATAAAGTCTAAATAGAGCCTAAATAAAGTCTTAAATAACAAAACCCGACCAAAAGCTTTTAGCCTTTTAAAAAGATGGCAAGGGGAGCTGATATGCAAATGAGAAGAACCTTGGTACCTCTTTAGAAGCCTGCTTGATCATGAGTTGCAACTCTAACCATGATTTTCGTAACGACCACTGATCCAGATTCTGTTGGACAAAAAACTTGTCATCGCTTTGAAGATTTAAAAGGACTGAGCTAGTTTAACGTAAGGGGGCTGAGAATAGGATAGGGGCGAAACAAAGAAAAAGAGGCATATTTTAGCCAAGTACCAAATAAACTTCCTGTACTACAAGAATAAGATTTCTTCTCTGGACAACACGGTAAGTTCTGAGTAAAAATTTAAAATAAAACGCCATCACATTTGATAGAAATGTAATGGTGAATTTTAAGCCTAGTGAATACATAAGGAGGATGTTTAATCAGTCAGTGACCCAGGTGGCTCGGAAGAAGAAATCCGAGTACTTCAAATAGGAGTCGAACCTGACCTTCTCACTGCTAGTCTGATTACGAGAGGAAACTCGTAGGATCTAAGGCCACTAAGCTAGGTTCCTGTGTCAAAAATCCTTGATACTGCTAAGGAATGGAATGTCTATACTATGTGTTTATGCTCAATGACAGAAATGTGATGGTGGATTTTAAGCCTGGTGAATACATGAGAAAAATGTATATTCTAACATTGCGGCTCTTTGAAACCTTGCCAGCATGCCACATTTGTATATCTACCATTGTGGAATTCGATTGAAAGCTTTATTTTTTCCCTCACCCCTCCCTGGGGAGCAAGGGTTGCGTGGTGAGAGTGGGTGAGAGCACTCGCCTCCCAACAATGTGGCCAAGGTTCAAATCTCGGCGTCGAAGCCTTATGCGGGTCAGAGTTTGTTGTTGGTTCTCTCCCTTGCTCCAATAGGTTTTTCATCGGGTACTCCGGTTTTCCCCTCTCCTGAAAAAACCAACACTTCAGTCCAAATTCCAATTCGATCTCATAAGAACTCCTAAGAGCTTCGTTGGTAAACAAATTACAATTTACAATTTACAATCGTTCCGGCCCTTTCACCACCTTGCTCGAGTCGAGATCATGCTTACAGGCTAGGTATATACACCACCACTGACCTGCAATATTCTGCTTGCAGCTTCATGCACTGTTTCCATGTCGTTGCTGTTAGCAACAAGGCCACCAATGGATGATGGGACACCAGCTGGATAGCAGATGAGATGCAGCAATTTTCTGGCCTAATAGACAAATTCACTGTTAGCCATTTGGTCTTTTGGTTTTGTCTTTGAGTACACGAACACTATTCACTCATAATGATATGCGAAGTTGAAACACACCCAATTAACAGGTTGAACGTGGCTAGTCAAACAGTTTCACGTGCGATTACATAACTCCTTATGATAAATTGTGGAAATCATTCATTCTTTCTCAGCTAATAAAGGAGCCACGCAGGGGTGAACGGCTCACCCTTCCACCCAGAGAGTCGCGTGGGCCTTAGTAACTATCCCTAAGCCAAGCTGTCCCAGCCTGGCTTAGTGCCCTGATCAATCATTTTCTCATACCTTAAAACAACTGAGCATGAATATGAATGTTGTTGAATAGATTACTAGGCAAAGACAACTTTTTTAATCACAAACCCCTTCCATAGCAAAATGTGCACTAACCTGATTTGGAGAAATCGCCGGATCCAACAGTAGTTCAGGTGAACAGAGAACTTGTGGATCTTGAAGACACCTCTCCCTCACCCATTCCTGTCTGCAGATCACTTGCAACGCAAATCCAGCAAATTGACTGGCGTTGGAAGTCTCCATAGCTGTAAAAATCCACAGAACAACTTTGAATTAACCTCGCTGGTATTTCTTATGCATTACAAACAAGCTCAGCAAAGTCTAAGTAACACCGCACGTTTTTACATGGGGATTATTTTAAGTAAATAATGTTTTGCCTTTGTTATTATATGCCCTTTTCAAACTATTCGCGTTGAGAAATGTATTAAGAAACCAGAGCTGGCAAAATTGAAAATTGCATAGAACGCAGTTTTATTAAACATCCATACACGACGTTAAAATTAAGAGAATCCCTTTTATGGAGATAAACCGTTCTCTGAACTTGTCTTGACCGATGTAAGGAAAGGGGAGGAGAGAAGTTTGGAAGGAGGGAAGATCAAGGAAGATAAGAAGGGTTTCAATTAAGTAGAAAGAAGCGAACGGAGAGAAGAGGGGGTGGATGAAGGGCCAGGGCTGACGGAAGAGAAAAGACTAACGAGAGAGGGAAAGAAGGAAAGGAGGAAAGGAGCCACATAAGAGACAAGGGAAGGGAGAGAGAAGGAATAGATTGGGTGATGTATTACCAAACGACAGTGGTTAAGAAAGATGGTCAAGGAAGAGAAGATACCATAAACTGCCGCTTATTGCCCCTTCCCCACTAGACTGCTAGCAAGCTCTCTGGGGCGCTCTGGCGGCCGGGCGAGAAAAGGAAGGAGAGCTTGCAAATTGAATATCTGCATCTAAAAAGTTGATTCGAAATGCTGATTGGCGGAGATGACATTACTAATGACGTCACTACTCTTGGTGCGAGTTTTCCAACGTTTGTTTAAATTCGTACTCGTTTCCGCTTCGCGCTGATTACCGGACATCAGACAGCTCAGTCGACGGGGAGCCATAGGGGACTGGAGGTGGAATTCAAATTCCAGAGACGTAGTTGCAAGGTCTCCTTCATTTTCACGCCCCGCTGCCAGAGCGCCTCGAAGAGCTTGCTGGCAGGCTATAGCTATAACCTTTTTTGAATTCAACTTATTATGACGTTTTGAAGAATAATTAAAAACTAACAAATGTAAAAAAAAAAAACAAAAACAAAAACGGGACCGCCATCTTAAGTGGTCATCCGAGCCACGCGAAGGTCTAGCCGCTTGCAGTGCAAAGGGAGTACCTTCATTTCCCAGATCATTTCGTAAGACCCTGAGTATTAGTCCGACCCCGGGAATCGAACCCGCGACCTTCCGCTCTGCAATCAAGCGCTCTACCGACTGAGCTAATCCTGCCGCGGTATGATCAAAACGTATTTTAATCAGCACTGCTATAGTTTGTTTCGAAGCACTTTTTCGATTCCGGTTATAAGCCCCAGCCCTCCCAGTAAAAACTCCTTATTAATAAGTATAAACCCAGCAATAAAATGAGTTGCAGTTTACGGTATACCTAGAGAAGGGAAAGGAAGGGAGAAAAGCAGGGGATGTGTGAATGGGAGAGAATAAGTAGCATTGGTGGGAGGAAAACAAAAAACAAGTGCTAGGAAAGGGAAGCGCTTTTTCTGTGGCCAACCTGATCTGCTTGAAGCCAGAGGTGGAGGAAAGATGTCTCCGGTACTGGAAGTGCTATCCATGAAGTCATCCAACCTGTTGGAAAACAGCCCGCGGAATGCATCATCACGAGTGGAGTCGCTAGCACTTGTTGAGCCACCATCACTTGCTCTGTCTGGAAAACAAGACAGAAAACCTGCCATAAGTGAGTTTGCTTTGCCTGTGCGGCGTACGCCACACATTTCCTTTATTGCGAATGAAGAATCATCGCGGAGAGTCGGTAGGTTTTTCATTTAGATCCGCTTTATGGTTTCCGCAGTGATTTTGTTTAAGCGAAGTTTCTGAGACCGCAATGTTGTCATTCGACCTTGACCTTCTTGCTACAACTTGGAGAGATAAAGCTTGATATATAATACAAACAAACCTGCTTCAGAGAGTTTAAGCATGGCCTTGAATACAGCCAGAACAGCACCAATCCCAATGGTTTCGTGTGCGGCTGCCAGCAGGTGATGGTCAGGAGATGAAAAGGAAAAAGGAAAAGGAAATGGAAATTTGAGAGCAGAGGAGTGGTCGTGTGACATGTGGTCTGTAGACTCGTCAAGAAGTCGAAGCAGTATGTGGCATGTTAGTCTTGCTCCTTGTTCGGCATCTTGGTTCTCAGCACCTCCTGCAATCACAAATAGTTAAAATCCCGGATCAGTCTAGCTTTCTGGAGAAACTGCCCACCTACCCCTCTCCTAACTGAACGTTAACTCTTACTTCTCACTTACTGCAAAATGTTGGGGTAGGTGAGCAGTTTCCTGTAAGTCTCTAACCACACCCCAATCTCCTTTCTTATCATATTTTCCTCTTGTTACTTGGCCTCCTGTCTCCCTTATGCCCATCATCTCACTAACCCCATCACTCTCTTACGCCCCCCTTCCTTTCACTCTCTCACCCACTCACCCAGGGCAATTATTTCCGGGCGACCAGAGCAGCTATTACGCATGCGCGACACTCATGTAGCCAGCATTCGTTTGGACTTCTACTATTCGTCAAGACATCAAGGAAAATTGGGAGCAAGCAGAGAGTGTCTTCTAACTTACCAGAGGGTAGAGCAGCTAAAAGAGATGGTAAAGCCACGTGGTAGATCACGTCCTCTAGTGAAAAGCAACTTCTGGCAATAAGCAGGGCTGTAAATGTGGCTACTGACTCATGGATTGATAAATCTCCTACCTGTGGTGGGTGAAACAACGCTTTGTCAATAGGTAATTGCTTTAACCCCTTAGCAACGGATCGGGTCATTTTAGGTCAGTATGGAACGACGCAGATTATGAACTTTGGGGGAACATCCACTGCCAACTTCGCCATTCACCTACAACTCATTCCAGATAAATTTGGAAAGCGAACTGTTAGCCAGCCGACATTCCATAGGAAAGAAATACGATTAAGACGATTAAGTGCAACAAAACTAGACATAGAAAACAAAGGAAACGGTAAGCAAGAGAGAAAGAAAGAACGATCGAATTAGATTCGTCCAAATTTTGATTAATGTGCATGCACCAAAATAAAAAAAATGCAGCTTCATTACATCCATTTAGAAGGGAGATTTCCAAAACTGTCAAAATTACTTAACATTATGGCAAAATTATCCGTTACCACTTAGGTTCTGGTGAGTTTACTCACATCTACTTCCAAGAGCAAGTCAACAAAACCAGATGAACTGTTCGATGAGCAGCACAGAGCTCTTAGGACTCCAAGCCATTCAGAACTGAGCCTGCCATGGTGCGCTGTAACTTCGGCGCACAACACACCAATGTCATACAACCTGCAGATGATACAATAATAGAAAGAAAGTAAAAAATCTGTACCATTGTGAAAAAAAACAAAAAAAAAATCGTATTCAAACTAAATGCATCTTTCCTCTCCTAAGTTAGCATTCTTGAGAACCACAAACTTAGAAGTTACCAGAGAAGCTGATGGGGATCCTGTGCACTGGATATACTTTTTCTACAAACTCACCTTTCACTACTTTGACAGTTACACACATTCATCATGGCGTTGCACACAAAGCTGTACACATCAGAGGGTTTTTCGTGGTTATGGAGGTATTCCCAAATGCCATCAAGCCGCTTGGTTCTGAAACGTTACATCAAATTTGTGAAATAATGGAAACTGATACTAGATACGCTGTAAGGCCCTGTTTACAAGGAGGGAGCATAACCCTGGTGTTAGGGTTACACTTGCAAGAGGGTCACTATAGCACAAGCACATTTCTTCTTTTTTTTACGCGACGTGTTTACAAGGCAGGTAGGGTTATCCTAGCGCTAGGCTAACCCTACCTGAATGCAAGGGTTACCCTGGCAAGAGGGTTACCCTACCTGCCTTGCAAACGCTCCTCTGTCATGAGAGACAGCAATCTTGACAACGTGAACGGAGTTATCCAATATCTGAGCTAAATTATAAACATCTGAACAATAGTAGCTATTTTCTGTATACGATGATAATATTTTTCCGTTTTATTGTGAATTTAACGCGTTCCCTATAGAGAGCTTCTAGTTTCCTTTCAAATCTTGGACGCTACAAAGCTCAAGCGTCACAAAACACGTCAGTAGAGCTGGTAAAGTTGACCCGGGTGATAGGGTGACCCTACCTGTGAAATCACTGCTTGTAAACCCGGGCTATCTTTAACCCGCTTACTAGGGTCACAATAGCAAAAGGGTAACAATATCTCCTTGTACACAGGTCCTACTCCCGTGAGGTGACACGTCAATAGTATAGAATTTCGGCGCTCGTCACTCAGACTTCATTTTGCGGGGAAACCCGTTGCGGCGACGCGAAATGTCGGCTGTTTTCTCAGACTATATCATAAACTGAAAAAAGCAGCAGTTTCTGACCTTGGATTCTGGAAATATTCTGCCATAAACTTCGAGTCATAAGGCTCTGTGCAGGCTGATGGTGTGGTGCTTGAACATACAGCTTGTTTGATCTTGGTGTAGGCCGTACTGAAGATATCTGCATACTTCAGCTAAATATAGAACAAATTATAAAGTATTACACAAGAGTAAATAATAGGGAGATTAAGCAACCACCACGACAACGACAACGTCGAAAAACAATTGGTTTTATGAGCAAAACAACAGCTCTGCACGTGCATCACGCTTTTTAGCACATTTCTTTGAGTCCACTGCCCGACTATGACGTGAAATCTCCTAATGCGACGTTTTATGAAGGTCGTGGACATACAACGACGAATATTCCTGTCTCTTTTTGAACCTGGACAAAGTCCTTAAGAATTCAACTCCAGGAGGAATCGCCTACATTTGACAAATTGAGCGGGTGCAAATAGGCGCGATAAAGTTTGAAAGGACACGAATTCATGTTTTTAGAGACGTTTTCACTGCCATTGTCGTCGTCTTTGCTTAAGCTCCTGAGTGCTGAGTGTGGATTAAGATAGAGCGGTTTTCATTTGAGTGTCGAAAAGTAATTGGTTTTGCACTTTCTACACGATGCGATTGGCTTAAAAGATTCGCGCCACCTTTTCATCCAATCAGAAGTAAAACCAAAGCCAATTGTGACGACGCGCTTTGCGTCAGCCACATGTAATTACTTCGAGTTTTGATTGGTTCAATGTATTGTCTGTGTCCTATGTGATTGGCCAGAGTAATTACTTTGGTTTTGGTTTTACGACACTCGAACGAAAACCACTCTATCTGGATGTTTCGCACAAGTAAAATTTTTGTAAGTTTTATGCGCATTCGCAAATTTGCGAAACCTCAATAGGACGTTTCTGCACGGACCCTTCTTGGGTTGTAGAATACTAGGAAATTACTAAACCGATGTTTGGGCCAGGAATAAATAATAATTAAAAATGTTTGGTGAGGTTTCACTGCCCTTGTAATTCTCAACACCTTCAAAACAAGGCTCTGGATTTAAAAAAAGCTGGTCACGCAATTTATCAAAATTCAAAGAGTGGGAACTGCCACCAAATTGAGCAAAACCAGAAACTGCTAAGGGGTTCAACCCCTTATGAGTTTCTGGTAAAACAAAAATAACCGCTCAAAACATTAAACTAAGGGGTAAAAAATCACAGCAAATAAAAATGGAGGCACTGATGGAGAAAAGTGAAGAACATTGAAACAGATTGTAATTGTAGTTTCTTAAAATTTGTTAGCCTTACAGTTTTTCCAAGTTCATTTTTGTTTTTTATCACGATAGGGGACATATTTGTTTGACGTGAAGCAGTGATTTAGTCATTTACAGTAGTTCTATAGCTTACAAGGACACGTAATTGGCATCATTGGCAAAATGAATTGGACAATCGTGACAAAGCCCCTTTAAGGTGATGTTACACGGGACGAATCGCAACGATAATTTTTTAGCGCAACACAGCATTACAACATTGTTGTGACATTGTTTCGAATGGTTGCAGCATTGTTCCAACTTTGGTACGCTGTGTTGCGCTTAAAATCGTCGTTGCAAATCGTCTCGTGTAACATCCCCTTTAAGTTCATAACATCAATCTTACTCTGAGGTGACCACAAGTTGAATACAAGTCAAACAACAGCGCCAGGATGCATCTCTCCGACGAAGAACAAATGCCAGGATAAGCAATATTTTCCACCGCTGCAAGGAGACTGTAAGGAAAATAATGTATTGTTGTTCTTTAGTAACTTCAAGATGAGCTCAGCTAATAGGACTTTAGCCCGTAAAGCGTGACGTCAGGGGATCGATCTCGGCTTACATTCCTAGTGGGGTACTCATGGTTGCTACAGCCATAAGTTTCTGAAATTCCCTGACCAACTGAATTAACAATTTCACAAATTGATCCTGAAAATGGACTCAACCCTTTGCCCACAACCATTATCTTCACCCATTTATTTAAAATGCTTTCAGCAAGTCCCATGCAGTGTACATGAACTGATAGTTCATTAAGAAAACTTGATAACCAGAGAACTTGCTCGAGGGCTACCTGGACCTGGGTAGTGGTGCGTCATCAGTATGGAATAATTTTCTGCCCACGTTTCTCAGACGTCGTTTCGTGGGAAAACTAATGGCGACTTCGCAAATTGTCGGCTCTTTTCCCAGGGCGCTTTCCATTTGTCAGAACTGACCGGCCAGAACATTCCCATCGTAATGAGAATTTCACTTTTAATCAAAACTATCTGGCTGGATCAGTCAAATCCTAAATAGTATGCACGAAGGAGGTGGTTTTTCAACAAAAACCCTTTTGAAAAAGCCGATTTCATTTGCTAACTGACTGGTACGGCAAAGGTCCGGCCGGCCAGTTCTGACAAACGAAAAGCGGACTAACTTACCCTCTGAATATCCTGGTAGTGTGTTCTGGAAGCAGCATCAGGCTACCGTGATATTTCCGCAGCATTGCCACCACAATGGTCGATTTGGTTGGTAAGGTCCCTACCACTGATTTAACAAGTGCGACTTGAGTGGTTAAAATGTCATCTTCGCTTGGCATAAGAACAAATGCCACAAAGTCCAGCAGGCCGTGTACATCACCAGCAAGTTCATACAAGTCGTACAAGAATTCCACCTGGTTGACTGTTGGAGCTGGCGACACTAAACCAAAGGTCCTGGGTTGTTTGGCTTTCTGATCTTTTACGATATTGGCACATTTTGCTACAGCAAGGTACTGGTCGAAGCAGGTCAAATTGGAGAATTTGCTGTCAAAATTAAATAGAAGAAAAAAGTGCGCGATTAAAAAAAAATTGTGGCTGTTATGTTTTACTAGAAAGTCATCAAGGCTTACAACGGTTTTCAGAAAGAAAGAAACCTGTAGGCTGACCGATAAAACCACCATTCGATCGTGTTACAAAGATGGAAAAACATTATCCAATGCTCTGGAAAACAGGTGAAGTTCGATGACTATGGACAAATGATATCGACTAAGAGAAGCTCAGTCTTTCGGTCTTTTGTACAATTCTTTTCACGCCCCGCACCCCTCCCCGCAGCGATGCATTAGATCTCTGATGTACTAGGAATTCCCCCCTCCTACGGTCTCGGGCTGAGTCCACCGTCTCTTCCATATTAGAAGTAAAGGCATTGTTTGCCTACGGCCCCATTTGAAGGGGCTATGCCCCCCCCCCCGGGGGTACTCCCTTTGATGGCCTATACGGGGAAGCTCCGCCCGGAAGGGGTACCTTTTTCAGGCTTCAGGTTTATAAAAGGGTAGGGATTTCACTAGTTGAAGTATATAGGGTAGGGAAATTTGTCATTTGGGTCTGTAAAAGGGCCCAAAAGCGCTAACATATGAATTTTATGGCTTTAAAAAGTCGAGAAAACGTGCTATTTTCGTGATTAATTCCTATTTAAAAGACAGTGCATTTACAGCAGTTAAAAGGGATGCAAAGTTCTAAAGAAGGCATGTGAAAGGGGTACCTTTTGTCAATAGAAGGAAGGTATACGAAAGGGGGTTAAGGGTTGAACCTCGGGGCGGAGCCTCCCTATATAAATATTTGTTGACTACCCCCCCCCCCCCGGGGGGGGCTATGCCATGCACAAGGCAATATTTAGGTCAATTCTGTGCTGAAGTCATTACTTATAACTGTCTTTACCCATACAAAAAACCGGTTCCTTTAGAGTTATGAAGATATCCAAAAAATGTTACCAGGAAGCACTAATCATCACATTATTTGTTGATTTTTGCAGCCATGGAATTTAACCTTGAAAAAGTTGGCCCAACTTTTTCAAATTTCTATCCATATCCATCCTTGCCATCCGTAGCAACAAACAGTTTCAATGCCTAAATACAGTCTTAAATAACAAAATTGCATCATCATTCTTAGAATTCATTTGATGTGAAGACGCATTTTAGCTCTTCAAAAAAAGAGCAAATGGCGTGACATATCTCCTTTACGTAAGTACATATTAGGCATTTACCTGTAAAGTACTGCTCTCTTCTCATCTCTCTCACGTTTCAACTGAACATGTTCACTATTCTGTGCACCGTCAGCACCAAGCCCAGAGTCATCCAGCCTTCCTAGCTCATTCAGCATAGCGCACAACGCTTTGGTCACTTCTTTTGAGGTGGCTATTGCTTTGGTCCTTGCTTTGCCAACACCATGCAGCAAAACAAGTCGCTGACTGCTATCATGCGCTGTAATGCTCTCAAATGGGATGGGGAAATGCTGTGCATATTGGGTATGCTGTGACTTTTTGGGAAGGTTGCAGGGGGATTCCATAGGCCAATTGTCTCTCTGATCAACGCTGGCCAAGGAAGTCTGATTCATCAGGCCACCGTCTAGCTTGGTGCCATTTGCAACAGCTGGATGAAAACAAAAATAAACGAGTTGTGATTAGTTACGAGGGTATGAACTAAGCCGGACCAAGCTCGTCGCTTTTCGCAGCCAATCGGATAAATCGACAAAACGCCTTATACATGTGAACGCAGTGGACCCTTACGTACACAACATTTCTGTACCTGACAGATCAGCCGTTAATATCGGAGCTTCGTGTTCCATAAAGATTTCATTATCACCCTGATCTAGTAGCTGTATAAGTCTTTCTTGATGAACAAGAAGTTCCTGGTCCAGCAGTTGCTGAGTAATCTTTTGTTCACTGTCACTGCTACTATCCTTGCGACCGTCATCTTCATGGCAGGACTGAGAAAATAACAGGACCATTATCAGTAATGTAAGCCTTGCAACTACATAGCATAAGGCATTCATATGATATATGCGCCATTTACCATGGAGGGATATTGTCCAAGTTCGTCTCGGTCTATAAAAACGCAAACAAGAACGAGGCCAATATCCAGCCATCATGACCGAACAAGCTTGGTCAAAAAAGGATTTATTATAAGGCCAAAAAGAGAACCAATTTATTGTTTCGTCTAATAGTCCCACTCAGTAAATCGACACTATCGCCTGATGAAGACCTGCAGTACGCGCTCAAAACCGGTTGTGATCAATAACTGACTGCCGTGACAGAACGATAAAGGAGACCCCTTTTGCACATACAACTAACCCTGTATAAATGAGTCTTCAGCCGTGACCAATAAGAAACTGGACTATCACTTGTCACTTTTGGTGGTAAAGTAATGAGCATGGTGTCTCAAGGCGTGGTATATTGCAGATTTAGATTTAAATACCAAGAATTTTTTAATAAACTGATCATAGTTAATAAGGTGGAATGGTTATGAAGCCCGTGAGACTTTGTTATGTGTTTTTGTGGACTTCTTAATAGTGGACAACGTTCCAGTAGGGTTCCTATCATTTTGATCTTGCTGATCAACAAAAACCTGCCATTAGTTCATTCCCGTCGAATGAATAGGCCATTTCCGAGTTCGTAGCTCTCACTTTCAAAACCAGGTTAAGTGCGACACCTTTGTGGTGAAGATGAGCTTTATTTGCAAGAAGCAATGGCTTTTCACTTTGCTTCAGTTTGAAACGAAGGATTAAGGCGACTGGGAAATGGCCTATCGTGCACTGGCAGGGAGCTCCCAACATAAACTGCAGCACTGCTGTTTTTATCTTCGATTTTAACCTCCTATCATAACTAGTCTCCCCCACAAACTACGAGCTGATGCACTCTCCAAAGGAAACATACCAGGCTATGAATGTCTATTCCCCCCTGTGCATCCCCTTCTTGCACACACTCTTCAATACCCATAGGTTCAGCTTCAGGAGGGTGCTCCAGGAGGGTGCTTCGGGGTGGGGATGGGATGGACACAGGGGCAGTAGGTTGCAGATCTCCTCTTGAGATAAGAGTGCACATGTAGGCATTGTGCGAAAACACTTCATTTCTGATCAGTTCCCCAAAAAGAAGAGTGAGCTGTGCGAAGCTTGGATGCGTCTTGTTGTGTTGGTAACCACCATCTGTGAATAAATACTGTACTTAGTCGATTAAACACAGCGGCGTTAATTAGAATCTTGGCGTTTTCGATGCGACGATTATTAGAGGGCAGCGTTTATTTCAAATCACATTTCTAATAGATCACCGACAAGAATAACGATAAATCATTTTTCTTATATTTTTTTCTTATAGTGTTTATTCGAGAGCGTTTTCCCCGCAGATACTCCTTAAAAAGTGGATGACATCTACCTTGCATTTGTTTTAGTCAGTAATTCAGCTACTTCGTCTACAGATAGCCTCGAACTCTTTCGCCCTTTTTTTGAGTTCACTCATGCCAAACCAGCTAGGCTGCCGCGCAGATGCCTGAAAACGAGGTTCGCGATTGTAAATTGCAATAAACTATTGCATGGCCTTATGCGCCTACCGGCGCGACGACACTTGATGATGATCATACCATCGGATCAAAAGCATATTGCATGCATCTTCAAAATTATAGGCAGCGCCCGGTGATTATCAAGAAAATTTAAGAGCCGGGGGATTAAGACCAACCACAAACGGCGAAATATTTTAAGAGAATCATAATAAATATTAAAACAAGCAGATATACAGGTAAACTCACCAACCACAGGCGCATAGTTGTCCAAGAAATTCATGAGAACTTTTTGGAAACAAGGCACCGTACACGCTGAAACAGATCCAGCATTTGATGATGTACCTTCCTGGCCTTGTTCATTTGAACTTTCTCTCTGATAAAATCAAAAGGGTTGTAATGTAAAAGTGTACTTTAGTACCAAGCAATTTTTTTTAACATATCCTTTTCATGATATGCAACAAATTCTGAAAGCTGAAAAGCTCATGGGGGTGTTTTAAGTACCGTTTAAAAAACGAGCTGGAGTGTTTTTTTTTTAACCTGACAATCCATGACTGCGAGTTTTTTTAAACAGCTTCAAAATCTCTGATATACATCAACTCATTCTTACACTAATATTTAGATTTGGGGTTATTTTGGTCTATAAAATTGGATGCAAAGATCTTTAATTTTAACAAATTCTCCCTATCAGTACCAAAGACAATGTATGGAGAACAGTGTGGAGAATATCCATGCTGATAGTAAAGCGCTGTCATCTTACCTCCTCAAGAATTTCTGCTTGCCTTCTTTGTAACAACGTAGCAACTGCTAGAGCTCGGTATTTTCCAACACGATATTTGCTGACAGCCCATTCAAACAGGAGAAGAGCAATGGCCTCATCAGTAGCTGATGCCTTGAATAAATTTAAAAAGACAAGCACATGTAGTTAGATCTCACATATACCTAGTTCAAAATTTGAAGTGTGTTTTTTTTATGAGGCTAACAGAAGTCCTGTCACAAGACATGTATAGTGCAATAGCCTGCAATTTAGCATTCACCATGTTTCACTTAACATGGCCAACATGCTCCAACATCTTCCGAGAAGCTACCAAATGTGCGACAAGAGTCATTTGCTTGTTCGTCTGTTTATTTATTTTTTCTTTTTGTCCTGGAATGTTTTTGCAAAATTTTGAAATTTGATTGACTTATGATTAAAAGCTGCATTACACTATTAATTTTCATCCAATTTTACAGACGGCAGATACACAATAAAATTCGAAGCACTCAATGCTGCTAAAAAAAAATGGCAGGAGATCGTACCACCACAATACCGTTTAAAATATTGCAAGTATATGGGGGTGGCCACTCTGTGCACAATATTGACATCGTCATAGGCATAATAATATTATTCCTGGGTTAAGAGCAGACGGGGACAAGTCCCCTTCCCCATCCTGCCTCTCCCAAGAAGAAGGGAAAATCGTCCACGATTTGCTTCTGTTTTATTTAACAAAACTTTCCTAAGACTCTGTCTTCTAGGGCCTTAATTTCTGGGCACGCACTCCAGGTTTCTGTAATCAATAACTAGTACCTCTTAAAACCATTTTTTCAGTGAAAGGGGAACTCACTGAACTGGGGTGGGTGTGGCACCCCTCGACCTTAAATTGCCCCCCTTTCTTTCCCCCCTTTGTAGTTTCCTGGAACCTCACTGGTCTGTTTGGGTCTAACATAATTGTATAATATAAAGTTCTCTACCTGTCCTCCAGATTTTGTGGAGTCTGCAAAAATCTTGCTGTAAAGTGTGTCAATGGAATTCGAGGAATCTGCGCGGTGAAAGTTGTAGCGGTCTAGGGTCTCTAATGTGTTCAGCACCCTCTTGACAGCTAAAACTGAAATAGAGACGGCTAAAATAAATGGAGAGAATTAGCAAAGTGATACTTTTTTACTAAGTAATATTTTTTAGTTTCAATTCTACTGAAGAGGTGAAATTAAAGCTGCCTGTTTCAAAGTGACTTTTATTGGGGCTCTGTACTATCAAATACAAAAATTAACTTTTGCTGATCTTTTTAAGCACCATATAAAATAAATATGGTACCTTAAAGTCATAGTACGGTAAATAAATATAATAATTATATTTATTTGAAATTGGCTCTAAAATCTCAGAAAGCAATTATTTTTCAATAATCTCTACGTGATAGCTGCTGCTATAAAAATGGATCCTTTCCAGTAATACCTTTCGAGAGCGTGTTTTGTTTGATTGTTTGCTTGTTTGTTTTTTTCTCACTGGCTACTTATAAACATTGCGATAATTTGACTTTTATTACGCTTGGGAATATTGAATTATAAGGGTATAAAAGTTAACAAACAGGGTTCTTATTAAGTGCTGGTGGCCAGCTAAAAATACAGCTACTTGGAGGTTTGAGCCATCTACTTTTTGTGGAAATACAGTATAGTAAAGTGAGAGTGAAAGCCTGAAATTGCCTTCAGCACTCAATTACCAAGCCGCCTACTTTCACATCCAAGCTGTCTACTTAAAAATGTAATGAGAACCCTGATGAAAAATAGGGTTGAAAATCATTTTTTACATGTGTTCCTAAAACTCATGCTAGCAAAGGACTTGGTACTTGCATGGGCCAAATAATTCAAGCATGTTTGCGTAAGTCACTTTGAATGTTATAATTTCACCTCTTCAAACAAAATTCAATGTGGATTGCAATATAAACAAGTTGTTACTGAGTAAAGCTGTAAGGGCAACTTTATCAATGCAGAACCAAAAAAAAGCTAGCTAGTTATGGCAGTGCAATACATGCATTAGATTAATTTAACTGATATTTACATAAAAAAAAAAAGAAACAGACTAGCCACACAATTATATTATTTTTAATAAAAAGAAACAAAACAGACATTAACCTTATCAATAATTATTTACAGACTTGCAGACTTTGATAGTAGATTAATTTTATAGCCATGCAACAAAGAGAGGCATGCCAAAACAAAAATAAAATAAAATAAATCAAAATAAAATGAAATAAAATTAGGCAGTGCAGCCAGCTAGCTGATTACATAAAATTGCCAGTGAAAAACCATGAGCAGGTGTCAAAGTAAGGTCGATTGAGTGCAACATGTCATGACATAAAATAAAAAACGCCAGTCCGATATAACCATTCCCAGTTAGTGTGTGAAACAACTCAGTTGAAGTCATCTTAGTGCAATTAAGACACAAGTTTGATGCACATTCACAAGAAGAAACTGTGCAAGGTTGGACACAGGTGCCCTACTGCAAAGTTGGTGAGCCTCTGGTGACTTAGAATCAAAAGATCAATGGTTAAAAAAAATAGCTCATTACAATCTGTCTGTCTGTCTGAACACTAAGATCTCTTACTTTCACTCACTGACTTCAATAACTGATTCTACATTCTTGTTAGTTTACTAAAAATAATTATGTAGGTTGATCAGTAGTGAACTACAGTACCAGAAGGAATTATTGGTTATGTGTTGAATTAATTCTCTTGCCCTCTTCATGGTGAAAGTACCTTCGTCACGGCATTAGTATTAGCCTTTAGCATTAGCATTCATTTTTGTCTAAGGCCTGGTTCAGACACCGTACTTTTCATGTCCCAAACCTAACTTAATAAGTTCAACTTTGGAGTCACACTAGCGCGATATCTGATTCAGACTGCACACCGTGTGTCAAGCCTAAGTTAAGTTCGACAAAAGTTCGAACTTTTGCCACTACATTTGCATTTAATCGAGCTATCGCTCATATGCGATATGTGGTTAAATAAAATTACTTACTTACTTACTTACTTACTTACTTCAAATGTTTTCGCAGCACCTAACTAAAACTGCCATACCAAATTGATTCGGATGCCACTCTTTTGCCATACTTAATTCATCAGTTCGGTTCGGCACTCGAGTGGAGTGGCGTCTGAACCGGGCCTAAGAAACTGTATAATTTGCTACATGACAGACCTATTTTGCTGAATATCATGTGATCAGCCTCCTGGCAATTTCAAAACATTTCCCAGTATTTTTCACACCAAAAAGACTGCCGATACCAACAAACCTAACTTTTAAACCAGCTTTCATAACCACAACAATGATGCAAAATTATAGCCAAAGAGTAACATGTGACATGCCTCGTATATGTTTGATGCTTGTTTTGTTTGAATATAGCTACACTGCCTTCCTTACGGTGGACTCATCTGCCGCTTCACCCATTCACTCCTGGGAATTTTGCGAAAAATTCTTTATGAAGCAAGTTAAGCCATTTTCTATTCACTGCCTGACTACTGAAGAGCCAGAATTGCCCAAAACACTGTTTATAGGTCAAGCACTTCACAGCCAGATGTAAAATACGTCAGCTTCCAAATTTCAAGCATGCACAGAAAGCAAATTTTCAAGATAGTTTTTGGGTTTTAAAGTGACACAGCAGTCTTGACTTTCACTTATCACTTTCTAACCTCATCTCTTGTTCTGCTTTATTTCTCACCCCATTTTTTCCCTTTTGCTAGGCATTTACTATGCTTTATTTCAGCAGAAAAGTTTTTGGGAAAGCTTTTAGGATTGTAGGATTAGATGCAAGAAAGTGCAGGTGTGAGTACTGGAACAAGATCATCAGAATTTATGGGTCAACGTTACATTTTTTCTCCAGCCTCCTTGACTGAATCATACTCATTCTGGATTGGTTTGAAAGTTCTCGTTCCCTCGGACACCTTAGATGACAAAGACAGGTTGTCCTTGACCATCAAAACTGAAGACATCACATGAGGTAGAAGGGACATGGATCAGCAGAGGCAGTTACGGGTGGTTCAGGGGCGAATAGGTTAATTTGAACACAGCAATAGCTGTTGCACTTTTATTTGTGATGGCTATACTTGCAGATTGCATGTTGCAAATGAATCCACCCTAAATATAAATAGCTAACAAGATTAAAATTAAATAGTACTTAATGTTATTAATACTATAACACAGTAAATAAAATTAATGTAATTAACTAAAGTACCAGTAACAAGATATTGAACAGATTAACGATAACAAAAAAAAAAATAGCCCACTATCTAAAATAATTAAATAAAATTAATAATATGATATTGTGCTTAGTATTACCAGTATTACTGCGTATAAAAAGATAAAAAAGAAGTTAGTGAAAGAATTAACAGGTTACTGTTTCCTCGAAATCGCCCATGCTCTAATAAGTGCCCTCACCCAAATAAGTGCCCACCCCCTAGGCTAAGGCATCAAACAGGTGTCCTCTCCCCTCCCCTTCACTATTTTAAATAGTAGGGATAAAAGACCAATGCAACAATCTGTACATCACAATGACAAGGATGATGAGATAATATACCACAACTATTTTATAAGCATGCATAATGATACATCTCTATGTTAGTGTATACTAGGACTACCAACCATTTTTTTTAACAAACCGCTAAGATTTAGCTATAATAAAGTCACAGTTTGTTGAAAGGAAATATTAATAAGAGCTCTCCTTGCTTAAGCACCCTCCTTACAATACGCACCCTTCCTTTTTGCCAAAATTTGAAGAAAAAAAATTGAACTACAACATAAGCAACATTTTGTTTTAAGGAATATTACAAGACACACAGGCTAAACAGTGCACATACACGTACTTATAATCTAACTATGCAATATTTGTTGTGGGCACTTTATAAGACTAAATACAATCATGTATTATATTAATGTGTGGCCTTAATTTAACTTCTATGTGTGACTAATACTAAGTTAAAGCAACACTTAAAAGAAATTCATGCATACTTTAACCATCAGTTCTAAAAATCACATAGATTGAAAACATAAATATTGTGCACTTAAAAAATAAAAACCCATGAACATTTTACTACAAGTAGGGGTCATGGAAGAAGTATACAATTTGTAAATGGTGTGAAAGTAAAGAGTACAGAGTAATTTTGTTTCGCAAAGTACATCTATCTTTAAACTGTCTGCATATTAATTTGAAAGTCAAGAGATTGGAAGAGTACTTATAGTTAAGAAAAGTCTGACTAGTTCTTTTACCCACCTACCCCTCCCGTAAGCCAACATTAACACTTACTTCTCACTTAGGGCAAAATGGTGGCTTAGGGGAGGGGTAGGTGGGCAGTTTCCTGGAAACGTATAATAATCTGTGTACATTGTGCAGGGCTTGAAAATAGTCTAGTCCAGGAGTCCGGAATGAGCTGATTTTCTTGCCAGGCCAGTAATTTTGAAATTCACTTGCCTGATTGGCAGCTGGGTTAAAGGAAGTCATCTTCCTACTGAATCAGTAATTACGACAAGCAAGTAAATACACATGTTGTTGCCCAGATAAGCAGAATAAATGTGAGAGCTGCTTGCCCAAATTAAGGATAAGCTGGAATTCAAGATTTTTTTCAAGCCCTGAATGTGTACAAGGTTTCTTTACCAAACCACTTACTGTTTGGTGTACATTTGTTGTACAATACTGAATGAATTTTGAAAGAAGAGAACTCATTCTTACCTGAGGATTTGTCCTGATATTTGTCAGGGGACCAGTGAGATTCTATTGCTTTGCTTCGGGTTTGGATTTCCTCCTCACTTGCAAGCAGAACAGACAGGAGCTGTGAAGTTCAAGAATGGGAATGAGGAAAATAATGACAATCAATTTCCTGTTTCTCCAAAGTCCAAGAAATATTTTGGGAACAAACCCATTAAAAGCAAAATCTAAAGATCGTTGCACCAATCCATTTTGCTTCTCTACAAGTACCTGATAATTATTTTTATTGCTGTATTATTTTGAAGTCCCCATTACAACCTCAAAGTTAAAATATCAACACAACAAATATAAGACTGTCACAGCCTTCCAGGAGAGAGACGGGCCCCTTTTTTAGACCCTTTTTTCACTCTCTAATTTGCAAAGTTGGAAAAAAATAATGTGACAATGGCACTTACCGGTAATTGTTTCATTTCTGGTTTACATGTAGCTGATGATTTATTTGAAAATTATGTTACCACTATGCCATCAGTGGCTTCACCGCTAACTGTAGCCAAACTGTTGGCCATCAGTTGACCAAAAGTCAGCTGACAAGCTTTTCGGTGAGCTGTTCTTCACTTTAATTAATTTTACGCAAAATTCATACATGCTTTTTTTCAAAAGTTACAGGTCAAAATTATATTCAAGTTAACATGTTTTAATTAAGCTTGATTCTCCAGTCCCTGATTATTCATGAATTAGGGCTAGAGGACAAAGGGAACTGGGAATCAACCAAGTTAAAAAAATTTAAACTAAACTTAATTTTGACCAGTGACATAAACAACCTCAGTATTCAGGAATCCCTGTGCATTTGCTGATGAAGGAAGCGGCATCTGAGATGGTGCGATGGGTAACCTGTCCAGCGGAGATCCCAATACAGCAGGTTTATTGCTTGCCGCATCTGCACTACCAACAGAAGAGTTACTGCTATTAGAAGCACTGCCTCCACCACTTGGAATGGAATTCCAGATCAGCGCTCCAGGACAACAAATGGCAATAGTTTGCAAGACTGAACTCAATGCCAGGACAAGGGCATGATGTTGTGGGCATGTTTTGTATTGAGAGAGGACAGGAAGTGATGAAGGACTGACGGCTGTCAAACTTGAACTGAATAAGAAAACATAACAAACTTGAGAAATGATGTAATCAACATGTCAAGAGCATGGGACAAAAAGAAAATCTGAGTCCCCAGTAGGAATTGAACCTATCACCTTCCATACACCGGCTAGACGCTCTAATCACTGAGCTATGAAGGACTTGTGGTGAAATGGGCCATATACAAGGTTCATGTATGACATGTGTCATGGGTACTGCTAGGATCTTCACTAAGCTAAAAATTGAATCGGCCATCATTCTTTATTAATCACAACGACAACAAACAACAAACAACAAAAACAAACTAATATACATGTGACCCTCTTTGGGAAAACGAGTATCGCGCCCGGTATCGAGCGACCATGCTTCATAGTTCTGCTCGCAGTTCTTAAACGCTGCTTGCTTTCCTCTTAAACAGATAAGCAAACCGTTTAAACGTTTTCCCTAGAGCGTTAAACGGATGAGCAAACCGTTTAAACGTTTCACGAATGCATGAAACGGATGCAATTTTTTTTAAACGGATAAGCAAACCGTTTAAACGTTTTCGTTAAAGCATTAAACGGATGCAACTTTTTTTAAACGGATAAGCAAACCGTTTAAACGCTTGCATGAACCTATTAAACGGATTTAAACGGATAGTAAACGGTTTCACCATTTAAACGGAAAAGCGTTAGTGTCCGTTTTCCCAAAGAGGGTCACACATTACCTTCCCACCGGCAAATAGCTTATAAACTAATTGAGGTGGGGGGAACTGAAGACATATTACAAAACAAGATTTTGACTATTTTGACATTGCTGATCCTAGCAGGAAAAAAAGGGCCAATAATCCTGTTTACCTTTCTGATGTGATGGATGGTACTGGACTTGGCACTGATGTGCTACTAGTCTTGTTTGTGCTGCTTGTACCTCCCTGATTCTGCTGCTCAGACTGCATCTGTTCAGCATTAGAGTAAAGTGTAGACAGCTTCTTGGAACACACCTGTGCAAGACTCCTGGCAAGTGTTTGGGACAGGACTATCTGGTCAACATACTGAAATAAAAGGAGTGATTATTAATTAAACTCATCAACAAAAGATTAGTTCAGGAGCTGGTGCTTTAATGTTGGTGGAGTTTGGCAGCACCATGTACAAGGCATGGGAAAGGAGGTATCCATGGCAACCCTACCTATGGCCACTCTCAGTGTACCAGCTACTTACAAACCAGTTACATTCCATGGAAGAGAAGGAAAGAGGGGAAATAGCTTGGAAATAACCAGGCAAAATGGCCTTACTGAGGTGTGACTGCTAAGACCAGCATTCTTTTGATTTTAGCATTGACTATTTTACATGTGAGCAAATGGAATTTGGGGTAAGTTTAATGCCAGTTAATGTTGGCCTACAGACTTCCCTTCATTCCAAACAAATTATTTAATTTTGGGGGAAGATTGCATTGCTTCACTGTTGAGGCCACGTCATTTCACCCATGTTGCTTCACATTGTGCATGGTCCCAATATTTCATGCCCCCTACCAGCAAGTCCATTGTTAAGTTTATTGTACACTGTAATAATGTTTATTGCCAAGCTGAATGCCACTCACACTCACACTCTATCTGCAACCCTCAGCAGCAGTTCTAAGCTTAACCAGCATCCCATACCAGGGTCTGAAATTGTGCCTTCCTGGACGCCAATGCGACTAAAAATTTAGTCCTGGCGACCAGAATTTCATAGCTGGTCGCCAGCTAGCGCCTTGTAAAGCTGGTTGTTATTGTGGACTTTAACGGTCAGAGAAACTGATTAAGAATTGAAACCTTGAAGCTATTTGCCAACAGGAGTCTTGCTTTTTGTCCTGTTGATATTTTTTAATTAAAAGGGAAACGAATCTTTCTGTAATAATACCTCCACAACAGCTACGATCAATACGACGTGTTTCGTGGTAGTTATCGGACGAAAATAGAGTTTTGATATGATCAGTGCAGTCATGGGCAGACAGCTTTCTGTTCCTACGTCACGTTCTAGGTCAGATAGCTTTATATCTCCAAAAAGTAATTTGTGGAAAAAATAAGACTTCACTCGTACATGTATGGTTGCTTTCTGCTATTGGGAGTGGAAGTAGTGCAATTTTTGAGCATAAAAACGTCCATACCATGCATTTTTTATTCGTGTTTAAACTTTATTTGAAAAAAAGGGAGGGGGAATTTTTGGCGACCACAATTTGCCCTCTGGCGACCAAAAATTTACACTTGATCACCAGGTGGCGCCTGTATTAAAACTTTAATTTCGGACCCTGCATACACCTCCTTCGATGATAAATTCTCCATAGGGATCTCCATAATTATATTTCTTTAAAGAATTCTTAGTTGTGAGAGTTTGATAACAGATTTAAGCATTTTCTCTTTAGTGATCATTTCATTAACTCTCATAACCATTTCTCTTGGCAACATATGGATATTGTTGGGAGAAAATTGATGTTGGTCACTATTGGGACTTGAAGGGTTAATGCTGGGACTTAAAGGCTTGATGCACAGTTTTAGCCAGGTGCCCTGATAAGGTCCGGGTCAGTTTTTGGAAAGTTTGTTTTCCTTTAGAAAGTTGACAAATATGAGATGGGGTATCTTTTCACAGAGGTGGTAAGTAGTGGCAAAGATAATGGCCAATCAGAGTGCATGTTGCATCTTGGACAGCACATACAAAAATTAATGTGCTGTAATTCACTTTTGTCTTCTTACTGTAATACATACCCTTAATAAGAGTGGGATTAAATATTTTAGCAGCAGATCATCAGCATTTTTGCTTTTGTCCAGCAAGTCCAACAGCCACTGAAGAAAATCCTGTCTGTCAAGAAGACTCTCCTGAAAGCATTCATAGGACAATAGCACATAACAGAGTACTACACAGCTGTACAGTATGAAGGGATCAACCAACCAAACACCTAACTCATTCCAGACACTCTCATGTGGACAGCTCTGCTTACAATAGCCTGCATTATTTTGACAGAGGCCTTCTTATGCAGGGTTTTCACTAAGATTTCAAGTTGCCGGGTAAATACATGTACAACAAGTACACATAGGCGGGAAATTAGACAGCTAGGGGTTTCTTTTGGTTCTATTTTCCTTTAAAAGTAGCTTCAGGCCACGTTCATAGTAGCCAGGGGAAATCCCCGGCCCCGGCCTCTTAATGACAGCCCTGTTATGGGAGGTACTCATGTCCCTAGTTTGAATTTCGTTTCTCATAGGAATGGTCTGAGGTCATGACACTATACGGTATTTTACTATTGTATTTGTGATTTTCCTCGTAACTGTCACAGTTTTAACTCATCTCCATGTCGTTGTAACCATTTCGCTGTTTCAAGGCCTTGTTACTTGTCAGGACTTTACCCTAACAAGGCCTCTTGACAAAACCCTGTTAGTGATCTTCCAGCCTTTCAAACTTTTTCACGATTATTAATCCTAATCGCTCATTCACTTAAAAGAAGGGAGTATATTAAGCTGTATAAGCTGGAGCTGAAGTGAGGGGACCATAGCCAAATTCAGAGAGATAATAATCTAACCTCGTACAGCCAGTGTGTTAGTCGCACAGTGTAGTTCCACTGTTTTAGTGCTTGTTCCATTTCAGGAGTCATTCTTTGTTGATGTTGAGTGGAGGTTATTCCACCAAAGTGGCTCTGGTAAAAATCTGCTATCTTGTTCAGTTGATCCTTCAGGTATTTTGTTATGGCATGAGTCCAATCTTAAATTATAAAGAAGAATACATTCAAATCAGTTTGTCTTCCAAACACTTGTTAATATTGTCACTAGGGGCCTTTTAAAATGTTGCAGGAAAAATACAGTGATTGTACTCCTTGAAGGTACATGTAAATGCACATGTTTGACAGAACACAATTTTATTATTCCTCACATTCAATTAAAGCTAAAATATTGTATTATTTGACTTTAACAAGAAGCCATATTGACCCCTTTAAAGCCACTGGCCTAACCCTACTCCTGTACTTTTCTAATGAGAAAATGGATTAAGAAAGGTTTCTTTATAGTCACAAAAGTGAGTGTACTTGGCATTCCATACCCCTCACACATAATAAAAACATATAATCCAAAATAATAGCACACAACAAGAATAAAAAAACCACCTGGCAGGAGATGATTAGCTACCTATTTACAAGTGTCCAGAGGATTTGAATTCAGGACAACTAAGAAATAAATAATTAAGTTGTCGGAGTGGGACTCAAACAAAGGACAGACATTATGCAAGTCTGACATGCTCACCACTTAGCTACCCTGCAACCTGTTAAGCATCTATAAGCATGATGAAAGGTTGTTTGATTTGCCTCACCATATTTACAGATTCATTTTTCAAATCACAACCAAAAGGTCATAAAAAATCAAAAACAGTTCAATAAAGATATCAGCCACTTACAATAGATAAGTCTAAATTTTTATCTCTATAGTACCTTGTGCAGGATCTGCCATCACTCTTTTCTTGCCCTTGGATTCACTGATGCCGGTTGTATAAGCTGATGATATTTTTATGAACCATGCTGCCCGCAGCATGGGAATAGAGTACTCACAAAGGCTGCTAAAAATCTCCTCTTTCTTATTAAAGATAGGCACCTAAAAAGCAAAAAACAAATTGTTTTGAAGTTTCCCCTCTTTCAATAAATCTTGTGTTACTTGTTACCTGATGGAGATTTATCAAACTCTCAATCACTTTCACAGTTTTCTATTACACTGTAAAAAAATCTCTCCATAAACAGAGGTTGAGATTTTTTCCAAAGTGTTTTGCTTAAAATTAGTTGTAATTACTTGTTCTCACAATGTTTGACTTTATTTGAATTACTTCAGGAAATCAGGACTCAGAAAAAAAAAATTTGAATTCCATCTTTTAGCTGTCCTCTGGGTGAGAAATACAATGTAGCTCTCACATTTGCCCGGGGTCACTTCTTGCTCGCCTACACCCTTTCCCATTAGGCAAGTGATCTCTTAATGTACACTGTAACTTGGCTACCAAGCAAATCTTCTTGTCCTCGACTACATGTACAAAGGGCAAGCAATGGAGTCAAAAGTAATAAAAATATGTTATTTGTGTTCCTCAGGGTAGCATGCATTGTTTTTAATAAAACAACTCCCCACCGTACTAGTCCCTGTACAGTGTGCGATTAAATTGAAATCTGTAATGTATTTAATTTTGTACTAGGAGAGAATGAGGACTCAAGAAATCAGACTTGAAGGGTTATGACTACTCAAGTTTAATTACATTTACTTTTATAATCAGTCTCACATTAAATTTATGAACATATACACCAACAACAACAACAACAACAACAACAACAACAAACAGATGATACAGAAATGATCATTTTTCTGTACTTTTGGCCCTGCTGATACATACAGCTTTTAGCCAGAGTTTTTCAGGTTTTCTGACTTTTCTTTTTTTTTTGGTACATTTATTCATTTTTTTACACTCACCTTCTTTACTAATACAGTGAGGGGTTTGTTCCCTGCTAGATCTTGAAACCAACTGGATATAAATCCACGAGAACGGGCAGTTGCATGAACCTGATGAGACAAGTGTATAATCATAAGAAAACAAATGTAGAGACTGAGAAGATAAATGATTGTACAAGGAGACTGAGATTTCATTTACAACAATAACAACCACAGCAACCACAAGTATTTTTAAAATTATTTAAGATGTCTTGATGATGATGGTGATCTAATGATGATGATCTAATGATGATAATGATGATGATGATGATGATGATGTTGTTGTTGATAAAGATAATGATAATGACGATGATGATATTGAGGATGATGCATGAGAAATAAATAAATCAAATTTTCATATTGACAAAGATGCTACATTTATTATTGACTTCATAATGTCACAAATATAAACTGTAGGATAATGAAAAAAAAACTGGGTAGAATTTGAACCCACAGGACCCAATTTACTGGGTGGACAATCTAACCAACAGGAGATTGTTTGCAGGGACTATGGAGAAACTTACTGTAAACTCTAAGCCCACAAAAACTATACTAAAAAAAATAATACTACAGGTATTATTAATGGGTGATGTGTGCCTAGAATACTGCGTGGGTGTTGGCTAGGAAGGAATGACATAGAAAGGATTAGAAATAATAATTAGCATCAATTTTTCATTAATTTGATATAGCAAATTAAAAGATGACTTTTGCATGTATTATGTCAAAATGCATGTGCTGTCTGGGTACTTACTGGTACAAAATTGTCCTTGACAGGCTGTGGTTTTCTCTTATTGCCATCTTGTGAAGTATACGTGTTTTGCTTCTGTTTTTCTAATAAAATTGCACTGAAGCTTTGTGTAAACTGTCAAAAAAAAAAACATCTTGAAGTAAACAATAGACTGCAAGCAGCCTCTTAGTTGTCTTTTAATGCACAATAATTTTTTTCTATACTAAGAGCACGCCTGAGGGGTGAATGGCAAAGCTGCAAGGAATGAGGGTGGAAGCCTGAACAAAGAAAAGATAAGAGATGGCGATGGGATCTTTTAATTGGCGATCTGCTGCTTTGCATTCCTCCTTCCTTTCTGACTACTGACACTAGGTTTCTCACCTACTTTTTTCGGTAAACAAAGAGCTTGTTTGTGCCCTGCTGTTTAGTTTGGACTAGTTAAACCATTATCAGGTTACATTTGATTGGGAAATCTGCATTTAGGTTTTGATTTTGAACACAAAATCTGCGAGAAATCTGTCCTCGGGGAGGATTTCAATTATGAACTCAAATCCGGATTTCATGGATTTCCTATTTACCAATCAATTGGGAAATCCAAAAAAGGATTTGCAAAACTATTCTCATGAACAGTGGTCTTGTTTTTGCTAATTATGTGTGCGCTTGCAAGACAGTTGTTCTCAAGGACAGTTTTTCAAATCCTTCTTAGGAAATCCAAAAACAGACATCTCAGCATTGAAATCCGTTTTTGGAATTCACATTCGATTGCAAATTGAAAATCCAGATTTTAAAATCTAAATCCAGATTTCCCAATCAAATGCACCCTAGGGCACAGTTCTTGACCCTTGTTTGTTCGCCATGTGCTGCAAAGTTAGAACCACAGTAAAAATTGAACTCCACTGATCTGAGAGTGAGAGTTTTTTTGTTTACAGATTGACAAGTGGCCAACCAATCGTGAATTGTCGTTTAGATTATCTGTACTCAGATTAACAAGTACTTCAACCTAGTTTCATTCAAAATTTCCTTGGTTCCTTATCCAACCATGAGAAAAAGATCTGGCTTGACCTGGATATGGATTTTACCTAAAACACATACACACAAGTCATCTGCGCGCGATCCTCTGTTTGTATTCAGAAAGTCCAATAAACCTCTCAAGCGTGTAAATTACCTTTGACAAGGGAACATTGCACATGATATCCTTTGCCGATCCATACTAAAAAAAAAAAAAGACACATTCGCCATATTCTTAACACAACACAGAACCTTTTCACAGGTAAAAGAAAACATTACGAAACGAAATATGGCTTTAATAAAGTCCTACAACCTCGACTGATCCAGAACTGAAAGGCAGGGGTTGGTAGCTAAATCCTTTCTTGACGTTCTCCTCGGTGAGTTCATCCTGGAAAGATCGTGGGCAAATTTAGCATGATAATGATTCACTTCAAACTAGATCTTAGTTAAAGCTTACCTCTTTTTGTTTACTGTCTTGTGGGTATACGTCTGGATGGCCCAAACGCGGTCTTTTCAGAGGACGTGGGACCGCCATCTTGGATCAAGTGCGGATCGTGTTGCCCAAACATTCTTAGCCGCGCCCGTGAGCCAGCTGCGGTGGTCTTTATGAACGTCATGCGCTCCTAACCGGCGAGACGAAAACAAAGATGGCCGCCTCTTTCCGTGCTTTGAACTGCCTTCGTAAGCTAAATATCGGCGGTTTAAGGTCTCCGGCAAGGCTCTTACCAAGGGTATTTGTCATTTTTGATATGGTTGTAGAAGTTTTGTATGTTTCCTTTGTAGCTAAGTGCCTCTTTGTTGTAGGTTTTGGGTGCCAATGGCTGTCAACATCAGCAAATTCGGGATTTATCTATCCATGAGCACCATAGTATGAAACTTCTTCAAGAAGCAGGAATACTTATACCACAGGGAGGTGTAGCCAGAACTCCAGAACAAGCTTATGAAATCGCTAGTACTATGGGTACGTATTACTAACGAGATTAGCTTCAAAGCTAATCAATTTACTATATGGAAATACAGTTCAGTGGAACCTCGACTCCGCGTAAAACAAGAATGAATGTATATTGTATTGGCAGGGTTGTCAGAAAGTTTTGAAGTAGACAGCTGAGTTTTCAAAGTAAGCGGCCAGTCCAAGGATATTTTATTTAAAAAAACGCCATCCATAAGGAAATGCCAAGCAGAGTAGCCGACCGATACTAACCAAGTAGGTGACGATTTTCAGTGGCAGCCGGCTACTTTTGACAACCCTGTATTGGCTGGGACAAAGCATGTGGCTTTTGTAAATAGGTGGTCGTAAATAGAGTTTCAACTGTGTTGTCATGTATGTTATAGTTCTGGTTAGTTGAGTTGGATAAAATAACGCCAGTCAACTGCTGAGCAGAAGTTAGCTGGATTAAACACCAGGCACAAAGTGCTCAAAAGATGGACAGTGCTATCCACCGGATAGATCACTATCCAGTGGATAAGTATTGGGAAAACCAATTGCACTATTCAGTGGATAGAGATTTATCTGGTGGTTGGCACTATCCATCTTTTGAACAACTGGGGCCTGCTGGACCAACCTTCAACATCCTAAGTGTGACATTTCACATCTGCCAACACGAAGGGGTAGACATACAGATAGACAAACGGACAGACAATTTTGTCACTACCAAAATGTCTGAGATGCAAAGATAACCAAATTTCCTTACCCATGGTGCTATGCTGCAGGGGTTTCACACGCGGAGAGCTCGGCCATAGGGAAAGCTGTTTCATGCAAAATGATTTTAGTATTAACCACGCTTTCTGGGCACTTGCAGAACCTCTGCTTTAGCATTGGTGCTTCAATCAGTGACACATTGGTGACTTTGTACACTGATATCATGGATGTACTGTGTTTCTAATTATTTTTTTTCCAGGCCTTGAGAGTGACTCTGACATGGTAGTCAAAGCTCAGGTTCTTGCTGGTGGACGTGGAAAAGGCACTTTCGAGGGAGGGCTCAAGGGGGGTGTCAGGATTGTGTTCTCGTGAGTAAAATAATATACTGTGGAGTGAACTTACGTATTTAATTTTACATGCGTTACCTACTGTAATTTAATGTCCTATTAAGCTTTTAATTTTTATTCATGTATAATTAATTTTATGCATGTCTACTGACAATATGCAAAATGTTTGTTGTTATTTTGCTTCTGTACTTTCTGTTATTGTGCATGAAAACATAACCGCATTTGATACGCATGATTGATGACTGCATAGTGATAGTATATAATATTATTGCCTATGTCTTATATTATTTTAGGCCAGAGGAAGCTAAAGAAATGGCATCCAGAATGCTTGGTAAAAAACTCTTTACAAAACAGACGGGAGAACAGGGAAGAATATGCAATGAAGTAAGTCCACATAACCCCATACATTAATTATGCATACATGTTTTGACTCTATCCATGTTAACTATATTATTTACTACAGGTCTACATTTGTGAAAGACTCTATGCAAGAAGGGAATACTATTTTGCAATTGCTATGGAAAGAGCATTCAAGGTAGGCTGACTGTAAATGTGCCTATAGCCTAATTGTAATACAAATAGACTGATGTTGTAAAGCAGCAGACTCAAATGTTGGATAGCACTATCCACTATTGTGCTAAAGTGGAGAGTGTTATCCACCTTTTTATCATCTGGGTCCAGACCACTCTTGTTTGAAAATTAATTACCGTACATGTTGGAAATTACATTATGGAAATCTTGTTGGTGGATAATATTGAGGCTCAATTCATAGACATTATTGTGCCACCCGTCTTATGATAAAGAGCTGTGCCCACTAAGTGTTAGTCCGAACTGGCCAACCAGACCAGTCCAGTCGTAAAGAGAATTTCATTTATTATTCAGAACTGTCCAGTCACATCACTCTGTTTCTAAAATGCTACATTTATGCATGGCAGTAATGGTTTTTCTTTAGCAAATTGATTCTCGGTGTTCTTGGTATAGTTCATTTTCCATTATTTGAAGTACCCTAGTAATGAAGCCTTCCTGAAGGAAGGTATTGCAATAAGCGAACCCCCCTCCACCTACGTATTTGAAAGGTCTGGAAACCTTCACGTGGAACTGAAGTACGGATATTTTCAGTATTGTTTTGAATTGGAATAATGATGGCGACACAGACAAAAGGGCAGAAGGGTCAGTGTCTGTACAATAATAAATGGTAACTTGACCCTCAATACAAAGTCTGGGGTGAGTTCATTCAAGGCAGAAAAGAGAAAAACTTTGTGAAAATGGTGTGACTGGTTAACAGAGCGTGTTGAAATCTCACACCAGAGACAAAAAGCTCAAACAAAACAGCAGGTATAAAGGGAAGCTGTCATTCTACGGCATGCAAAGAAAGTAGTGTCCGACAGCCCGGGGCTAGTGGATTTTACTATCAGGCTAGTGAATTCTGTTTTTAACTTGCCGATGGGCAAGTGATGTTTTTTGAAGAATTCGAATAACAGAAGAACTGTGAAATCAATTCTGCTCGTCAAAAAGCTTTTGGGTCTAATTGAAATGACATCTGGGCTAGTAAATGCCGAATGGCAAGTTGTAAAAATGATTTTCTTTGCACCCTATTCTATGTCACACCAGATGAAACACTGAGAAAAAAGTTTAAACAGTGACTCGTAGGGGGTACTTTTGATGAACTTCAAGGTGTTTCATCTGGTTATAAAACACTGTGCCAAATGCTTGATATCACTTCTCAAACAAAATGACTTTAGAAGGAGAAAATAGGGATGCAAAAATGAGCAGTTTTTCATCTGATTTCCAAACACTCATTAAACATTAATTTCCTTTGTATTTTGGTTATAAATTATTGATGAGTTTGAGAAGATCCAAACATGCATGATCAGATTGCATCCTGTAATTCCAGTCATTCTTAGTGGAAGTCGAGTTGCTGGCTAAAATAATCATGTACATACGATGTAATTAAATGCCTTGCATTGATTTCATAATAGTAACCTGCAGATTAGGACTGCAGGCTCCTCTTGTCGCCTGTGGTATGGATTGTAACCTTTTACAAGGCTGGGTTACAAATAATTTCTGCCTGGTAACGTGTAGCTCTGATGGACTGCGGAGCACGGGTCTACGCTGTAGATCATGATTTCAAAATCCTGGCCAGATCATGCTGGTCATCATGATCAGAGACTCTGGGCCTTTATTACAATCTCGTGTCAGTTCAGATGCTTGCATCATTGGACAGTTGTAGACTAGTAGACACTAACTTTTTAACCTGAAGGCAAAATCCTATGATGGTACATGTAAATGGAACTTCTTTATAAGCAGAATATTAAAAGTAGTCCTACACTGTACTTTAATTCTCAAGATATGACAACAAAGAATTGGATTTTTTTTTGTGAATTTTAGGGACCAGTATTGGTGGGCAGCCAACAGGGAGGTGTTGATATTGAGCAAGTTGCCAAAGAAACGCCTGATGCCATTGTTAAGCATGGAGTGGACATTATCAATGGTTTGTATCAAATTAAAGCTCCCTCTTTGTAAATCGCAGTAATGTACAAATAATTATTATACCAGTATTTGCAACATTGATATTTTGTGACCAGTAATGTTCCTGTTCAAATGTACATGTATATGGTATGTATTACTTTAATGTGAGATTTAAGTTGCCAGGGGTAGAACAGGCTTGCTATTAACTTTCTCTGTCTAAACAGGGTGGGCTTATACATTTGTACATAAATCGTTTATGTGTTACAGGTAAAAATTAAATTCAGGTTAAAAATTTTGAACCTTGGTTGATTATCAATTTTCTTTGTTGTTAATTTTTTAAAAAAAACCTGAATTTAATTTTGACCTGTAACATACAGGATGTATGAAAGGGAGGGGTTGGAGGGAGGGGAGGTCAATGGAGGATTTACAATGTCCATGCCTAGTCAGTAAAAGGACAAGCATGCTGACAGCTACCTGTTAGTAATACATAATTCAAGATTATCAATCACTTTCCCAATTAAAAGGTTTATCAAAAAATGAAGCATTGGAGTTTGCAAGAAAGATGGGATTCAGTAAACAATGTGTGGACCAGGCTGCAGACTGGATGATTCGCTTGTATGATCTGTTTATCGAAAAAGATGCTGTCATGGTTGAAATAAACCCAATGAGTGAAGATCTGCTGGGCAGAGGTATAATTACTGTTTTCATTGTTATTGGCCGTGTCATTCATTGTTAAACAGATGTAAAATAATAAACGATAAGTATTGTTTAAGCAATAGAAAATGTTTTTCGTGTTTGCTTGGCCTGATATAAACACGAGAGGGGTTGGGAGAATTTGAGACAGTTTTTTCAAAAGGCTTACAGTGTAACTTTCTTACAAATAATTGCTCATGAATTTGAATTGCAGTTGTCTGCATGGATGCCAAGCTTCTCTTTGATGACAATTCAGAATTCAGGCAGCCTGATGTGTTCACGTTGAAGGATTGGTCACAAGAAGATGAGAGGGAGGTGGAAGCTGGACAAGCAAACCTTAACTACATAGGTCTTGATGGAAGCATTGGATGCTTAGGTAACCTTCATAGCAATTTGGAATAGTTTAGTAGCCTGTTCCAGGCTCTCAGATAGTGGGGAAGATGCGGAAGTGAAAGCCATGTGAAAAGTTGGCGAAAAGTTTCCTCCCATTTTATTTTCATGTTCTCTCTTTCTCAATCCCCGCCTGCCCGACTATCTCGGAGCCTGGGACAGGCTATTGACCACTACAGAAAATACCATGATATACCACAATACTCTTTGTTGGTCACTCCAAAATTTTGCATAAGCAGTGTCGTCAGTTTCTCTTGGGAGTTAAAATGGCCCCACGAGAAACTGAAAACAATGCTTATGCAAAATGTAGTGGTGGTTCATGTATGTTATGGTATTTTATGTAGTGGTCAATTAGTGTAGGTAAACAGCAGTAGGATGTTCTGCCATATCAGTCTTTCATTTTTACGGGCCTTGTTGTTCAAATGGCAAAACGGATGATAGTACAGTGACTTTTTCTACTATCCTCTGAATGAATTATCAGCTTTCTCCAAGAAGACAGATGCGTACCATTGGGACCAGTGCTTAGTGTTCATCTTTATTGAGAGATGTCCTGAAGAAAGGCAGGGATCATCTCTACGTGCCCCTTTAAGATTGCTGTCCTCCTTATGAAGCATTACAAATGGACTGAAGAATGATGAGAACCAACTCTTAGGTGTCTCTGGTGTGTCATCCACCATACAGACAATCAACGAACTTGATTGAAGAATGACAGGATCCAACTCTATCTGTCTGTTTTAGAGGGGTGGCCGTCGGGTGAAATTTTAAAAAAAATGACTGAAGAATGGTAGGGACCAAGTCATCGTGTCCCTATTAGTGTGGTGTTCAGTAACGTACCTTATAGAGAGTAAGAGAAAGGCAAGGCCAACTTTACATGACACTGGGGCGACTTTTGCACTGGCACAAGTTCACTCCAGTTGCCATTCGTAGCTCTGTATTTGTTTACATGATACCACCACAAACTGTCATGCTGGCATGAGTCACACCGGTGTGAGTTCACTGCGGCACAAAATTTCGCAACAGTATCATGTAAACTCAAAAAGACCACTCGTTTCAGTGTGAAATCGGTCTGCTGGCAGACTGGAATGGGTAGCGCATGCGTAATGTTTACGATTTTGTCTTGCACTTGTATTTTATCAACATGAAGTGTACCTTCATGACCATCATATAAACGAAATATGAAATGACCCAATCAACAAGTTAACGGGGTACAAAATCAAGAAGCCATCCAGGTATGAAACTCGTGCTGGTGCGAGCGTTCTCATGTGAACACCCCCTGAGATGTCCTTTTCATTGTGCTCTCCGCCCGGGGGGGGGGGGGGGGANCCCTTAACCTATACCAGAGCTAGTTCAGCTGAATTTTGCTACCCTATACTAGAGTAAACTCCCCAAATCCCCCCTATCCTAGAGTAGCTGTTTCCCTTGTCTAGATAAAATCTTCAACCAACTGATCAGTTTCCTGAAAAATGATACCCTATTCTAGACCCAAACGTTTATATACCCTATCCTAGAGTAAACTGCTTAAAAAACCATACCCTTCACAGCGGCACATACCTATATAGCCCATATATGACAGTACCCCCCCCCCCGGGGGGGCTCTCCGCCACATAGCGAGCCAAAGAAAAAATCGATTGGAGCCAATTCTAGGTTTCCTTTTCAGGGATTCAGTGAAAGGTCTTGAGTAAAACCCTAACATGAGATCTTGCTCGCACGCTATTGACTTACTCACTGATAAAACAATTACAGGACGTGAGTGTAATTTTGGATTTTTCCCCTTTAAAAATTGACAACAGTAAATGGAGCGGGTTTAGCCATGGCCACAATGGATATTATAAAGCTTCACGGTGGTGAACCAGCAAACTTTCTGGATATTGGTGGTGGAGCTACAATAGATCAAGTCAAGGCTGCTTTCAAGATCATCAGTGAGGACAAAAAGGTACAATCTACACAACGATGCTTCATTACTGTTTCGCAAAGATGATCAGGAACTAAAAAATTTTTTTTTTTATTTGGTTGTGCTTCCCACTAAGACCTTTTCTACGGTATTGTTTGAGGTGCGGCGTTTGTAAAACAAAAGATACATTGTAAATTGCCCAAAAGAGTTTCCGACGATCAACCAAACTTCGTTTACTTTAGAACCCGAACATTATATCACTATCCTCCAATACCGGGCGTGTTTTTAAAGGCCAAGGAAAACGAGAGGTTTCTGAGAACCTCGTTCCAGCTTGTGAACACGTGAATTATTAATATTACTGAAGGGAAACGAAAAACAGTTCGAGTTAACGGGGAATTCGAGTTATCGAGGTAAATTTCAGTGAAAGTTTGATCAAGGGAAAGGAAATTTAGCTCGAATTAGAGGGGAATTCGAGTTATCCGAGTTCGAGTTATCGAGGTTCTACTGTATTTTTTTGTTGTTGTTTCAGTAAGATTAACTTTGATTATTTTGTTTTTTAATGTAATGCGCAGTATTTTTTTGCGTAGAATTAACACCATATGCTTTATTCAAGGTTCACGCCACCCTTGTAAACATTTTTGGTGGTATTATGCGCTGTGACATCATCGCTGAAGGAATCATTGCTGCTGCTAGGGAGCTGGACCTTAATATGCCTGTTGTTGTACGGTTGCAAGGTAGGAAATATCCAAAAAGCAAATCCCTCTCTACAAAATTGAAGTTGTATCGTAGGGTTGGGGAGACATTTAGTGTGTAGGTGCATAATTAGGTTTATAAATCAACCTCTTATATAACTGTATATGTCCTTTAATGGCTTTCGCGAGGGCACCTTGCCGAAGTCGTTGTTGGCCGTCTGCTGGATAAGGGTAATCTGCGAGCAGGCTTACTTGTGCGAGGTCGTGGCAAAGATGTTAGGCTGATTTAGCAACAGAACGAGAACGTCAGTTGACGACGGCGAGCACAAACTAAACAACCGGCTTGACCAATGGCAGAGCGGCAAATTGGGCACCGGAAGTGGTGTTGAGTCCTTTCCGCGCGCTTTCCCGTCGTCAACTGACGTTCCCGTCCTCTTGCTAAATCAACCTAATAGCAGCGCTAGGCGGCATTACTGGTAAGAATAATGGCGAGAGAAAGTCACTTTTCCTCGCACGTAGGCGGCTCCGACGCCAAAATTTTTCCCGAGCTCGGCCTCTGGGAGCAAGTTTGTATGTCCCTACGGTGGCGAATCCAGGGGAGGAGCCCCCCCCCCCCCCCCCCTCTTTTTTTTCAAAACAACGACCCCGAGGGCTCAAAAAAAATTTTTTTGTTATGACACCACCCACCCCTCCGCCCTTTAGCGTCTCTAACCCTCCCTCCACACCCCTCCCCACCACGACAGTAGGGGGCCCCCGCGCCAAAATTTTTCCCGAGCTCGGCCCCGGGGGGAAAATTTTGGTGTCCCCACGGGGGCGAATCCAGGGGGGGGGCCCCCCCCCCCCCCCACCTTATTTTTAGACCAAACTTAGGCCCGAAGGGCTGAAAAAACTTTTTTTTGAGACAGGCCCCCTCCCCCTTATCTCATGGTCTTGATGACCGCCCCCTCCCTCCCCCTCCCCCTTATCTGAAGATCTGGATCTGCCACTGTCCAACACGTCTGGCTCTTTACACATGTTCCAAAACTCGGAACACCCAGAAATAAGTCAAATGAATGGGAAAAAAAAATTTTACAATTTAGGGTTGGGGGCTACTTCACATTTCACCTATTGCCAGGTTTTCTGGGTTGTTTTGGGGGTTTCTCGGACAGTTCCGGTGTTCCCCGTTTTAGTACATGACGATTCTCTGGATGAAGTCCTTAGGTGTGACTACTCAAAATAGTTCAGTCTCCTTGACAGTAACTGTACTTTGGGATGTTTGTTTCTCTGTATTTTACGGGAAAAAAAAATCCATTTTCGCTTTAGATTTGATTTTGCGCACGCTTAATTGTTTTGCGTGTTTTTGTTAAGTCGTAGAGGGATGAGAAAAATATCTTTTCTTGAGATCTTGTACTAACAAGTTATGTGAGTGCTAGTTAACTGCTTTACAATAAAGTGGGTGGTGGTAGCCTGAAAAAAGCCGACGTTTCGCGAGGCCACAATGGTTTCCTCGCGAAATGACGCCTGGGGAACGAGCACAGAGATTCCATACTGATGACGTGTCACTACCAAGATCTGGGTATCGCTCCTGATTGGTTGAAGTTATTTTCCTCCCGGCACGACTACTTGTAATCAGAAGAACTACCCATAACTGGGTAGTAATACGTGACCACTATGGAATTTCTGCTCTCGCAACTCGGACGTCATTTCGCGGGGACACCATTTCGCTGTTTTTTCAAGCTAGGGTGGGAAAGGGAGTCTCCTTTCGCTACTGGTGCTGCAAGTAACACCAGAGAAATCAGGTATAATAACGTGTTATCTCCCGTTTTTCTTTTAGGAACTAGAGTGGATGATGCCAAGGCACTGATCGCTGCCAGTGGGCTGAGAATTATCGCTTGTGATGACTTAGAAGAAGCTGCTGAGATGGTGAGTTAGTTCATTTTATTTCAAGAAGTTACTTAGGCTCCGAACGTACTAAACGTTTTCGAGTTAGCGGGGAATTCGAGTTATCAGGGTAAATTTCAGTGAAAGTTTGATCAAGGGAAAGGAACCGCCGCCTGGTTAGTTCAGTTGGGAGAGTGCCTGTCTGCCGAGCGGGAGGTCGCGGGTTCAAACCTCGGCCGGACCAACACTCAGAGTCTTTAAATAACTGAGAAGAAAGTGCTGCCTTTGTAATGACATCTGCAAAAGGTTAGACTTTCTAGTCATCTCAGATAAGGAAGAAAAACCGTATCCTTCTCACAGCACTTTCACTTATCTGTTCTTGTGGGACGTAAAAGAAACCACATCACTATTCGAAAAGAGTGGACCCCAGCGCTGTGGCCAACCAACCTTTACGGGTTGTGGGATTTGGTAGGGATGGCACCTGGCATGGGACCTGAGTCCGGTTCGTGCACATTCCCTCTGGGCGGGCCTGTGTCCAGAAAAGTTGGTAAATAAATAAATAAATAAATAAAGTAAATAAATTTATTTCGAGTTAGCGGGGAATTCGACGAGTTATCCGAGTTCGAGTTATGTAGGTTCTACTGTACAATTAAATATTTTTAAGAAGAAATTTTCAAATCCGATCAATCAACTACTCAATATCAACTTGAGAGAATGATTATTTTTGTAACCGCTGAAGCCGACCCCAAATAAAAATTCGTCTAGTATGACCCCCCTAAATAGGTACAAAAATTTCCGCTTATTCGCTCCTTCCCTGATTTTGTATCTTTGTCTCTGTCTCCAGCAGCAAAATGAATACACAGGCTAGCGCCGACAGCGTCCTTATAACTGGTCGCGACTGGTTTTCACGAGCTGTAGTCGCTAAATGTATTTCGAAGTAAACCCGGACCAAAAACCTCTACAGAGTGGTAAATTCAGGGGTCATATTTCCCTATTCGTCGGCGTTAAAATGAAAGACAAGCTTCCTGCTTTACACCCTTCTTTTTTTTTTTAATTTTCACAACAACGAAATATCAATTCTTTTTTAAAGAAAGAAAACATTGCGAAAAGAAACAGTTCGGTTATATATAATTGTTATTCACTTCTACTCACTTTTTTTACGTTTTGTTCACTTTTTCTTTTTCCTCTACTTTTCTCGGGATCATTTACGGTCGAGGACCATTTGCGGTCCATTTTGGGGGCGATTTGGGATTTGGAGATCATTTACTGTACAGGTCAACTCACTCAAAGAGCACGCGCGAGCGCTGTTGGCTCTCTTTTTTTTTCTTATGAATAACCCTTTTAGTGACCATCATCAGTTTTCTCCCAACGATATCCATAGATTGTCAAGAGACAAGGTTATGAGAATAAATAAAATGATCACCTGAGAAAAATGCTTTGATCTTTTAACAAATTCTCTCAACACATTTTTTAAGGAAATGTATAGAGATCAGTTTGGAGAATTTGTATTTCTATATTGAGGCTTAAAGGGTTAAAAGCTCGCAAAAGTTGACTTGACTGGGAGGGTGACCCTTTTTTTCTCTGTTTTTATTGCAGGTTGTCCGTGTTTCCAACATTGTTGAGCTCGCGCGAAGCGTAAAAATGAAGGTCAACTTCGAGCTGCCTATCTAGCGACATTATGTTTTGTGTAATATAGCAATCATCTGGTAGTTTGTTGGTTCTATATTCTTAAGCGGACCAGTAACTTTTGGTGACCTTTTTAATCCCCCATGATGTGGTCATTTCAAACGTGGCACTATACTAAGATATTTTTTTCGGTGAATGAAGAAAAATGACATGTTAGTTCATTTATGGAGTTGCGAGTCCTTGCCTTGAGCTTATACACTTAATACTGGTTTCTTCCTTTTCGACGGCAAGTGTATTTATGTCACAAAATTTTTATTGATGTATCTTTATTCTCGGGGAAAGAGTGTATATCATCAAGGCAATTTTTAATATCTCAAGATTTATTATTTCAGAAATAAAACTGATTAAGATATCAGAAGTTGTTTGCCTCTTATGTTCTTGCACTTTATGGATATTGTTTAAGGTGCTCTTGCCAAAAAAGTAGCGAGTGTCTTTCTTTATTGGTATCAGGCGTTGAAACGGTTGGGGGAGTGAGGGAAAAAGAGAGGGAGATATTCCCTTTCGCCACTGGCCTGGTATCCGTCGAGATCTTTCATCCAAATCAGTTTTTACATAGCCTGCGTGGTAGGTGCAGAAAGGGGAGGGGAGGGGAGAAAAAAATGGGGAGAGGGATTTCTCATCGTTCTCCTCTCTTCCCAATTCCCCTCCTTTTTCCTCTCCTCGACTACTCCTTTTGACGCTTGCCACGCTGGCGTTATTTACAATACACTCGCAGCAAAAATCACGAATCAAGACATAATGAGCTTTGGTGCAGTTTGATGGTTGATTCCTTATCTGTATGGTTCCAAGAGAAAACAGCCAACTCTTTTGATATGTACTCTAGTTAGATTGGTGGTGACACCTTGGCTTTTTTTCTTTAATAATCTCCTAAGGCACAGTACCGGCCGTCTTGAAAAACCGTAAACGACGACCGGTTTCTGTGACTACTGGGACGTCCAATTTTTTCTGCGCACAACGAGTCCGTGTTTGTACTCCTAGGGGTTGTTAAAAAGACCCTAGATACCGTACCCGTTCGCAAAAGCTTTCAAAGGTTAGGATACACAATTCCAGTCGCACTTCAAGGTAAAAGACATCCTTTGCCAGCGTTTTGATACTACATGTATCGATTTGGTAAAAGAAAGTAGAAAGTTCACTCCCCAGACGCCTACCGCTGTTTTCATAAAAGTTAGTGTCCGATATATTTATTTATGTGCACGGCAGTTTCCAAGCCGCTCGGCGTTTTGCTCATGCAACTTCAAAGCTACAAGATTGGGAAATTCGTGAAACTGTAGCTTACCATCGCCATTAACATCGAGGATTGAAAACAGCTTCTTCAGCTCATGCTTTGTCATGTTAATGTTCATGTTCTTCAAGCCTGAGATGAACGCATTCTCTCCAATGGTATCACGTTTGCCCGAGAGAATCTTAAACAAGTCAACCATTCGCAGTCCGCTGCTGCGACCAAACTTGACGAATATGTCTAATGGTGATGGTCTCTCCGGGTATTGAATCTCCCTGGCTTGTCCACCTTGGATACTCACCTGCCAAGAGGCCTTAAAATCGGGTCGCTTTTTGAGAACATCCTCCAGCTCCCTGTGGCAGTCCCCGTCTAGAGCCATGTTGTCCAGGTGAAGTTCCCGAAGGGCGCTTTCCTGATTTCTCCTGATTGCTTTCAAGAACGAATAAGCACCCGGACTCAAATATGGATTCTTACCAATGCGAAGTACCTCAAGGGATTTGTTCTTTTTGAGACCTTCAGGGAAAAAAAGCGCATTTGCTTAAGGCGAGCCAGGCTTCTCTGACAAGAAATCACGAACTTGTACCACTCATTTTAATTGGGAGAAATTGAGACATAATGACCTGGAATGAGCCGAGTTATGGATGCAGGGAGTTGGCATTCGGCTTCCCGGAAACAAGTTTCCTTGGTGTAATACCTCTATGTTCCCGAGGGTTTTCCTGGACGGTCTTTTGTCCTGGAAACCCAGAATTTATTTTCTATTTAATTTTTAATTTCTTTTTGGGAATTCCACTTTTCCTGTTTGCTTTCCTTTTTTTTACGTGATTGGTTTTTATCCTTACCCTTTGCGATTAACTTTGCTTCAGCCAGACCGATGGAAGTGTTTGAAACATCCAGATGCACCAATGATTCGTTGGCCTCAAGAGCACGTCTCAAGGCTTGCGCTCCTGCACCCGCCAAGCTATTCCAGGAAAAATCTAGCTTCTTCAACGTGTAGCTTTCTCGTAGTCCATCCATCACCTCTACAGCACCTCGTGCAGAAATCTTGTTCCAGCTGATATTCAGAGATTCCAGAGAGCTGGTCGTGGAAAGTATGAATCCAACGATAGCTGCCCCTTGGTCTTCGAGGCAATTCTGGCTCAAGTCAAGAACCCTCAAATAAAAGTTATTTTTGAGACCCTCAAGAATGGGAAGGATGTTTCTTCCTGTGTTGCAGATGTTTGAGAAGGCAAGCTGCCGAAGTGATGATGTGTTTTTGATCATCCGCTCCATCTCGTGGCATCCTCGGAGGCCGATGTTGTTTCCCGAGATATCTAAGCTGGTTATAAAACAGTTTTCATCTAACAAATCTGCCAATGCTTGGGCTCCAGTCTCAGTGATTCCGTTATCGTGGAGATTCAGAGCGATCACAGTTATGTTGCTCTTAAGCGCACAGCAGATAGCTTGCAGTCCCTTGTCCAGGATTCCATAGTTTCGAAGATCCACCTGAAATTAGATTTAAGAAAATTAGTTTCTTTAGAAAGTTAAGACCTTATGCCCTTATTTAGACTGGCTCAATGCCTTGACGCTTTCTGTTTTAACTGAATAGTGTACATGGAATTGCAAAATAGTTTTAAATATCAAGCGAACCTTGTTGGGTTAAAAAAGGAAACTTTGAACCTAAATCTTGAGCGATACTTCCTAATTGTTTTCTCGGAGTCTTAAAGAATAGCAGCACTCAGCTCCTTACGTCCTCAGAAAGAAATGTTTATATCGATGAAAGGTGAAGGAAAGGAATAATTCTAAGCACGATATCGATGTGTCAGTGCTCCGTGAAATTTCATATTTCATTGTGAACTATAAAAGAAATGTTGCAAGGGTCTCAACAGTGTTATTTCTCCTGGGGTTTCACTCTTGAACAATACTGTATTTTTGACTATAAAAGCAACAATCATATTGAAAAAACATATACCGCAAATCCTCTATTAAGCCCCCCACCCACCTCTCAAAGAAGCCTCCGCCCTCTAAAAAGCCCACCCCTTTTTTCAGGGGAAAAAAGTTAATAAGCCCCTCCTCTCTATTAAGTCTCCCCCCTCCCCTCCCCTTAGTATTGTTCACTAACAAGTGATAGACTGTATTAATCAATTATGACTGTAAAACTTGGTGTGGACTGATCCGGGATGGTTTATTTACCAACGGGAAATTCGGATCTGATCCTGATCCTCGGCTGCATGACCTCCAACCTTCCTGTACTTAAGCTCTTCCACTTTGTATTCTCGTTATTTATGGAAAACTGATACCATCGTCTTTTCTAAATTAAACTGATAAGCCCCCCCGTCTCTAACAACACACACACACACACATGGGCTTGAAATAAATAAGCCCCCGGGGGGCTTAATAGAGGATTTACGGTTTATTTATAACAAGAGAAAGCCATGGAACCAGGAATGATGCACCTTGGTTGTCATCATTTGCTTGATGAAGGATGTTGCAGGTGGTACTCCGAGCTCTCTGCAAGCATCTAAGTAAGTCTGTTCCAGGGAGCTATTCAGCCTCCGTCTTGTTTCTTGCTGACAACAATCTTCTAAATCAGTGTCCCATTCTTCACTGTCACTCGTAGATGATTCCGAAACTGAGTGTTCTTGTTTCGTTGATGCCATCGCCAGTCCTTATTGTTTGGAAACTTAAAGAACTGGCAATTACAAAACCACGAGTGGTGCTGTGGACATCAGAATAATTGTCTCTAGATCTATCTTGAAACTCTGTTCAATTTACGACGAAAATGTATCCACTGGGCAGGAAAATTTCGTGAAAGGCGTAAATGACTGAAATTTGAACAAGGGTGGCACAAAGCTCGTTCGACTTACATAAGTGTATGCACTTCTCTTTTAGCGATTCGATCAATTAAAAACGAAAATTCGATCGTTTTTCCCATAAAATATTCAACGTATAACACCTTTAGTAGCACCTCTCCGGTTTCATCCGTTAATTTATATAAATTTGCAATCCGTTTTCTTGTGTTAAACCTCTTAAAATGAGGTTTAGATGTGATAATTAGACCCGTGCTTCAACTGAGTGTTTTGGGTGAATTGTGTTTCATAATCGAGGTAACATTATGCCCCAAACTGACATTTCATTTTAATGGAAACTGGGTATGGCGCGAACACCAGTAAATTACGCACAAACTGTTTATGATCATTCTCTTTATAGATTTGTGAGAATTTTTAAGTTTAATCGGGGGAATTTTTTTTAGTATTTACAGTTTTCCCTCTTAGTTTCATGTAAAGTGGTGGATCTTTTATGACGCCAATGCAGACATGGGAATGCGATAATCGGTGCTAATCACGAGTAGTACAATCTCAATTATATAAGATACTGTATTAAGATGTTGAATTTTTTATATGGATTAAGTCTCTTCATATGAACGCAGTCTGGTTCCGTCTCACTGACCCTTCTTGCACATTTTCCCATTTATAAAATACATTGAACTTTTTACAAAAGAGTCAATAGCCAGAAGTAGATTTTGATTTATTTACACTGATTTCTACACAATTTGTGTATACGGCATCTTTCTTTCATTAATAATTAATCCCCTATTCTAACATGGCTTGAACTAGAATGTCCCATTAAATCATATTTGTCTATTTATTTAAGGAAAGAATTATTAAAATCCAACTTATATTGGCTGTTTTCACTCAAAAGGCGGACAAATCGTGTTGAATGACGTGTTGTCTAGTGTGAAAACTGGTCGAACAAAATGTTGGACGTACAAGCCGTCTGATTTTGTCCGTCCGTTAAGACGATTTTGTTGATCTAAGATGAATAGTAGAACGTCAGACTCGACTTCCAATCTGACCAAAAGCTTAACTCAGCTAGAAGACGCCATTAAGGATTTGCTTCAGTAGACTCTGTAAGACCACTGAAAAATGTTAAAGTTTAATCTTTTCCGTCCGTTACGTGTGAACAGAGCGACAATATAGAGAGATTAAGATTCACGTTTACGGCACACGGCAAACGGCAAACGTCAGTTGAGAATTTCTCAAAATAGAAAATAAGCAGATAAAAACAGTCCAGAACGATTCCTTTGGATAAAACTGACATAAAACCACTTATTTTTGTGTAGAAGCAATAAACAGTAAACGAAAAATAAGGGGAAAACTTGGTCACGTGGTACAAATTCACGTTTGCCGTTTGGCGTAAACGTGAATCTTAATCTCTCTATTAATGGGAGGTTCTGTTTGAACGAAATGCCTGGTCGAAAATTTCTTGCGGTACCGTGTGAAGGTAGATTATACTAAGCAAACAATTTTAACAAAATAAGTTTTAATAATGTTAAATAATCAGAAACAGGCCACGATTGGTTAAACACCGCTACTCAGCTTTACTGAGTGAATTGTTACATTAATAATTTCAGCATAGTAAGCTTTCTGGGATCCAAAATTTTGTGGAATTGATCTATATGGCATAACAAAATTAGATATATACATGACATGTATATAACAAAAAGCTCTTGCATGGTTTGTGATTCGAATTTATAACTCTCAGAAATATAAAGAAGAAGCTAGTGATGCGCTCTTCCTAGTATTTCCCACTCTCGGGCACTAACTGGCTGAGGGCAGCTCACAATCGAGACACAGGCTTATTACTCGCATACCTTACTTGGAATTTGTCGGTGTAATCGTAATCTTGTTTGTACTCTTCGTGGAAACAACTTTGAACTTCATATTCGCGGGTGAACTTTCCGTTTTTGAACTATTCACTCCAGCTAAACGCTGTAAGAGCAACTCTGAAAGTGCTAAAGTCTAGCGATTTCCAACGTAACTCAGTAACAAATTCACCAAAAAAAGAAACCCAGCGAAGTATCTTTCAGCCGTCGCCAGACTCAGAATCACGCACAAGAATGGTTTCAGCGGCTCCATTGGGCTTCGGCGTTTCACGACGCTTGCATATAATGACCACAATGGCGGTGAGTAGAATTATTGTGAGCAACGCAAGCCCTCCTGCAAGCAGACCAAAAGGAAAGGCTTCTTCCGTAGGCTTGCTCGGCACTATGTGGAAAGAGTAAGGCAAAGGACGTTGGCTGAGTATACTAACAGAATTATGAACTTAAGAAGTTCTGACTTGTAAACTTACATTTCGCGGCGCCATCACTGTTTTCCCCGCGAAATGACGTCTGAGAAACGAGCGCAGAAATTCCATACTACTGACGTGTCACTACCCAGATCTGGGTAACGCTTCTGATTGGTTGATGCAAATGTCCTTCGCGCCAAGACCAAACAGAAGCACTACCCAGATCTGGGATTCTGGGTAGCGACGCGTCATCAGTATGGAATTTCTGCGCTCGTTTCTCAGACGTCCTTTTGCGGGAAACCATTGGTGGCATCACGAAATGTCGGCTGTTTTCTCAGGCTATGAAAACTTAGGAACATAATACGAATTGAGGACACACAGTAGTATATTTAAAGTCGTTTTACAGAGCAGCTAAATACCGCACATAGCATTCAAATCATATACAGCTATTTCGAGAAAGGCTGTCGTCAAAAATGTGCACGCCACAATCCCAAAAGGTAATATGGGATATGATCAATGCAGTGTTTCCTGACACTTTTGCTGTTTAACCTACTTTTGTTGCTTTCCTTTAGCACTCACAAACATACGTCAACTGCCTCTCGTGCCATTCTTTTAAATTTCTTTGAAGAAGAGTGAACTCAAAGCCACCCACAATACCTTTCGGGGTTGTCGCGTGCACTTTTCCGACAACCTTTCTCGAAATAGCTGTATATGCTAACTGCTGGAAGGGACTATAACAAAAAGGAGTGTACTAACCTAAAAGTCTGTATATTATTGTTACGGTATATGTAGATATGGAGGAACAATGGCGGATTTGCTGCCTGTTCCCTTTGAATAATATTTATAACAAAAAATTAAAAATTGTAAAGCGCAAATTTCACAAAATAAAAAGCGTGATAAGATGCGCTTTTGACACAAAGATAAAAAGAATTTCAAAAATAGATTAAAACAGTACCTTAACATGTTCAAAACTACTCGCTATCATAGGAAAAATATTCCTCTGAGAGGACATGAGCTTACTGGCAATGTATAGCCTGTACAAAAACCACGTGCTTGCGAAACAAAATCGTTCTTCAAGGAAGTCACGTTGTGTAGCGACCTCTAATCAGCACGTGCACTGTTTACACTGTTTGTTAAGTGCTAAATGTGCTTTATAGCACCTAAGGTTGGTTCGGCGGCCACATGCAAAGCTAACACTTTTACAGATACGTTTCTGGGACTATTGTGATTTTCAATGGTTAATACTACCAACGATTAAAAACATTCATTACTAATCAAATTTAATTAACACATAAAGCATTTACGAGTGGATAGAAATAGCAAAGAAATAAATTGGGCTAAACCAATTCGAGAATTATCGTAAGTCAAAACAGAGCACGTTTCCTGTAATGATATTTGAAAGACCATTTCCCACGACCGCAATCACCTTACGTTTTTATAATATCGGAGCATAATATCCTATTTAACCTGAACAATCAGTATTAAATTCTGCCTTAATATAACAACGCTTTATAAAACAGAGTAAAAAAATGGAAGATAGCAGGTATCGAAGCCAGTCCCGTCAGCTCCGAACGAGAACAATAGAAATGACCTTACATTCATTCTTACTCAGACGATAGCATACAAGCGTTACTGGCTATAAGCCAGTAAGCTCAAAAATCGGCTAAGATGAAGTAATTACGAAATAAAAGCGCGTCTAGAAAAGTTTAACCGGCGCGAGAGTAGAGGACTTAGATCATGTAAGGTCATGTAACGTGTCAAAAAAGGAAAAGAAATTTTTACGACCCGGATTGGCCCCCAGGTCCTGCTCGAATTAGAAGTACCTGTTTTCTCATGCCCATCGAACTGCCTGGTAGAAACAATGATGGGTCCAATCGCCAGATACTGTTCCATTTCGTTTTCTGTGTTCCGCTTTCTCTTTCTACCATAGGAACACCCTTGCGCGCATCGCGATGATAAATCTGATCGCAGGCAGGCTGTGACCTGACAATGGAGGTACACTTCATCGGACTTTAAAAGACGGAAATTGAACGTCTTAAGAGAGAAGCGCTGCACAGACGATAAGGTGTAGTTGTAATTGACAGTGTTGTCCTTTAAACATCTGAAAAATTGTCAACAACAATAATATTAACGAACATTGACAGTGCCAGAGTTGCATGGGTACTGCAATTTAGCATTATTGCGGGCTCCTCTTGTCGCCCGCAATCCTAATCTCCAGGTTGATATTACGTATGCGTCGCATGTATGTAGCCAGCATTCCTTTGGACTTCCACTAACAATGAATAAAATGCACAGGACGCAATTTGATCACGCTCGTTTCGACTTTCTATCACTCGTAATCGGATCTCGCGTGTTTTGACTATCTATCTAGCGTTTTGACCTTCGATCGTTGTCGCCCGCACTCCGTAACTTTTGCTTATTTCTAGTTTAATGCTTTAATACCATGGACGGATTCATTGGTGGGGCCGAGGGGGACGGTCCCCTCCCCATACCTTTTTCTGCGGCATTTTAACATAGGAACGAGGTTGTTTGAACGGAATGACATCCCGAGTAGGAGAGCCAGGCGGATGAGTATGTTCCAGCTAGTACC